TGAAGCAAAATATCGCTCCATGGCCACAACCACCTGTGAACTTATCTGGTTAAAACAACTATTGAAGGAACTCAAATTTGGAGACATTGGCACAACATCTCTCATTTGCGATAATCAAGCTGCTTTACATATTGCTTCTAATCCAGTGTTTCATGAAAGGACCAAACACATTGAGATAGACTGTCATTTTGTTAGAGAAAAAGTTCTCTCTGGAGATATAGTCACTAGTTTTGTTAACTCCACTGATCAATTAGCTGATGTTTTTACTAAGTCTTTGAGAGGGCCTAGGATAGATCACTTATGTAACAAGCTTGGTGCATATGATTTATATGCTTCAGCTTGAGGGGGAGTGTTGTAAATAATAGTTTAGAATAGTAGTATAGAAGTCTCACATCATGTATATCTCTTTGTATTTTCTTTCTTTTGAGTTATATAATAGACTCTCCGCTGTGTAGTTAAGACACACGGATTACTTATAAATCTTCTTGTTCTTGATATTCAGTAGAAGTTTTTTTTAAGGATTTATACATGTTATTCTATTTTTAATTTGCATATATGTAGTTCTGCGAGGTGTGAACAGTTGTAACTCATCTTTCAAATAAGAGTGTTGTATTATGTCTTTACCATTTCTTATTGTTTTCATGGATTACTTATAGTGTGCTCCCACTACCTGGGGGATTCTAGGGTCACCTGCTAGATGGTTTTTAGCTATTTCACAGTTTTTGTCCCACATGATTTCCTTTATTTAGATTTAAATTATTTGGTGTTTGGTTAATGGTTTCAGTTGATGGCTTCGTATTCATGTATAGTAAGTTAGTATTCATAGAGAAGCTGATGAAGACATTGTTTCTTTGTTACGATTTATAAACCTAAATGCATACAATAATGTTATTTACACATAATTTTCTTTACATCATTTTTGCACTACTTCCTTTTTAGATAATAAAATAAGAAAAAACACATTCCGACACACACTTTCTCTACCTTATTTATGGATCAATGGATTTAGTCTGATCTTTCTCAGATATGATAAGCAAATTCTGTCCCAGTTACTTGTTAACATTTAAATAATTAGGCGGTGGTTTTTTTTCTGATCTTTTCCAGATATGAAACTGGTGACCATGTGGGTGTTTTTGCTGAAAACTGTGATGAAACTGTTGAAGAAGCTGGAAAGTTGTTGGGTCAGGGTTTAGATTTGTTGTTTTCCCTCCACACTGATAATGAGGATGGTATTCCCCAAGGAGGTTCTCTGCCACCTCCTTTTCCTGGTCCTTGCACACTGCGATTTGCTTTAGCACATTATGCAGATCTCTTGAACCCCCCGCGAAAGGTTTGTACATTATCTTTACTTGCAGTGTTACCATTTCTCTTTCTTTTCTTATTATTCAGTACATAATTGGTTTTACTTGTTATAACAGTTTGTTTCAATAGGGATTGTCCTTGTTTATTAAAGGAAGAAGTAATTAGCTGCGTTTATGTTTCAGGCTGCTTTAGTTGCTCTGGCTGCTCATACTTCTGAACCTAGTGAAGAAGATAGATTAAAGTTCCTTTCTTCTCCTCAAGGGAAGGTGAAAAAAGTTGCTAATAGTAATACTATTTCTGTCTCTTGTTTTCAGGTTTGAATTTTTCTTTTTTTTCCCGTTAATGATAATTTGAAAATTTTGATTTTGCAGGATGAGTACTCCAAATGGGTGATTGGTAGTCAGAGAAGTCTCCTCGAGGTAATGGCTGAGTTTCCATCAGCAAAACCGCCCCTTGGTGTGTTTTTTGCTGCAGTGGCCCCTCACTTACAGCCTCGCTATTATTCTATTTCATCCTCTCCTAGGTGATTATCTTATCCTATCTAAAATATCCGAACTAAGTTTTATAAGAGAAGCGGCTACAAAATAACGTTGTTTTGTTTTGATTGTCCAGGTTTGCCCCGCAAAGGGTACATGTAACTTGTGCCTTAGTTTGTGGTCCGACTCCTACTGGAAGAATTCACAAAGGAGTATGTTCAACCTGGATGAAGGTAGCAACTTGTGATGGATGCACTTCTCGTGCAATCAAATTATTCTTGTTTCAACATCTTGGTCCCTTTATTTTTTCTATTTTCAACATCTGAGAGGATGCAATTATAAATCAACCTAATGTTATATCTAACTTAAATCTCTCTTGTAAATGATCAGAATTCTATTCCCTTAGAGAAAAGTCATGACTGTAGTTGGGCTCCTATTTTTATTAGGCCATCAAATTTCAAATTACCAGTTGATCATTCCATTCCCATTGTTATGGTTGGACCTGGTACTGGCTTGGCACCTTTCAGGGGATTTTTACAGGTATGTGAAATGTTATGAATGTTTTCTAGTTTTCTGATTGTAATGGAAAGCAGATTGTTAGGTAGCGAACAATATTGAATGAAGGGGGAAGTTTTGGGATGGAGGTGTAGAATAGAAAGTGAAGGATAGGAGGCAAACATTGGAATCGAATAGATAAAAAAAAAATCACTACCCATTAAATCCCGACTAGATACGGTGGGGTTAGAGTAATCTTTATATGTAGCCTTACCCTTATATATTTGCAATGAGATTGTTTCCCGGATTCGAACCTGTGACTATTCTATCACAAAGGAGCAGCTTTACTGCTACTCTGAGCTCGCCCTCAAGAATAGATAATTATGTAAAATCAACCACAAGAATGAACTAAAATATGAAATGCCTAATTCTGATTCTATGTTGATTAGAACCTCCAATTCGAGTCCCAGATAATTGGAAAAACCTAGTTTACCTAATTGATGATTAATTTCAAAAATCCTAAATTGTTAGTTTAGTCCCAATCCTGAATGACATGATATTGGTGAATCCCTAAACTCAATTTATGATAAGTATCTGTTTTGTTCTTATTCTTGCTTTATCTTTGATTTACCCAGGAAAGATTGGCCCTTAAAGAGGATGGTGTTCAATTAGGTCCTGCATTACTCTTCTTTGGATGCAGGAATCGTCAAATGGTAAAATAATTGCTTGGTGGTGGACTTTCAATCCCAGTAGAGTTATGTGATTTTCCTATTATTTTTTGTTTATAGGATTATATTTATGTGGATGAGCTAAAGAATTTTGTGGATCAAGGTGCTCTGTCAGAGTTGATAGTTGCATTCTCTAGAGAGGGACCTGAAAAGGAGTATGTTCAACACAAAATGATGGATAAAGTAAGTGTCATTAGCAGCCTAGTAGACAACAAGTGCACTGTGGATAAATTTTTTTATTGCATCAATTTTCTATGTCAACATTAATCTTTATTCCAAATTAATTGGAATCGGTAGTCAATAAACTGAAAAACAAGAAAAGATCGAGGAGAAAGAAGAAAAGTAAAAATAAAATAATAATAAAAATAAAATATATATAAGAGAAAAAAATAAATAAATAAGAAGAATAAAATAAATCAATTTTCTATGTGCAGGCAGCAAATCTGTGGAGATTGATTTCTCACGGAGGTTACCTTTATGTCTGTGGTGATGCTAAGGGTATGGCGAGAGATGTTCATCGGACTCTTCATGGCATTGTGCAGCAGCAGGTAATGATTATATTGCTAAGCAGTAAGTAAACATATGTTGTTGTGGAGGAGTGAATGTTGTTTAGGCTTTGTTTTCATGTAACAAGTACAGATTGATCTGTCTCTATGATGAAAATTTTAGAATTAAATTATTTAGTTCTATTTGTGCTTGCCACTGTAGTATTTATTTATGTTGCTTTCCGGTAGGAGACAAGGCTCTTTTTGGCTTTTAGCGGAAAAATCTTCATGAATTGCTTATCAATCTAAACTTCGTTTTCCTTTATGTTGTGTCAGGTTTAATGTTATACTGTTTGAGTGTTAATATTTCCAATGTGGAGAAGTTAAGCATTCTTTCTTGATTTCTTTTCGCGTGGGTATGTGGACCTGTGTGCTTTTGTGCCTACGATTCAAAAACATATGCTCAACAATGTATTATCTACATTTATGATTTACAGTTAAAGAGTTCTTTACCGTCTGGTGGTAGAGATTAAAATTTGGGACAATTTTGTACAGGAAAACTGTAATAGAAATAAATAGTTAAGTTGTTATTTTATTAAGTACACATTATTAGTTGAAATATGCATTTTGTCTTGAAAATAAATTATGGCTCCATTACCTTATGTGCCATTTTTTCGTTTGAAATGCCTTTTATAGACCAAAATTGGCTTTAAAAAAATTATCTGGACAAAAAGAACCATTATCTTTTGTAACTTCATTCTATCCGTATCCATAATTGTCATATTGCACACGCATGTATGGAGAATGATGTTCCTAGTCCCCCGCTTCTTTCTGGTTTTGTCTTTGACATTAGCTTTCTCAAACTTATAGGTCAGGGAGGTTACCTGTGCCACCTAGGTTGTTTCTGACATCTTTCTTATAATTCATCTGCTGATTCTATTGGACTTGCTTATGCTTTCTCTGAACATTTATCTTATATTTAGTATAGTCAAATTTCATTTTTATGTATAATTTATAACTTTTGCAAAGCATTAAATTTACAATGCTGCAGTTTCTTCTGACTCTCCAGTCCAATTTATTCTAGGTTGCAAAGCCATATGCAGTTATACACTATTTATTTAATCGGACAAAACTAAGTCTATAAGACTATAACCATGTTTCTGGATTTAATTTCAGGAAAATGTGGACTCATCCAAGGCAGAGGCTTTAGTGAAAAAACTCCAGATGGATGGACGTTACCTTAGAGATGTCTGGTAAGTGTTTTGATTGTTCATCTGTCTGGGTGAGGCATCCTTGCTATTTGATATGTTAATTCAAGATTGGCGGAAGGATATTTGATTCTCTCTGCTGTCACGGAGTTTTGGGATAGCGATGATGGAGGTTGAATCAGATTAGCCACAAAAAAATAAAATAAAATAAAAATTGTGTCTTTCTTATATTTTTGCTGTCTTAATATTCTCTCTGACCATGATACTTGAACTAGGATAATTTTTAGGGGACTCTTATAGGTAGCCTCAGATCATTTAAACACATACAGGTTGCAGTAGGTTATTTCCAACGGCCATATTGTAATGAATAAGCATTCAATTGAGGAAACAATTCTTCTAGCTGATGAAGTATCTGTATATTTAAATAGTGCTATCATCTTATAGTTTGATATGCTCAATAGCTTAGTCTTACACTTTCAACTTCTCTGTCGATCACAAATTTCTATATAATAAATGTAAAATCTCAACAATCTTGATCTTACAGTTGCAAATGATGGTTGGTTGTATTCTATCTTTTATGGTCTAAAAAAAGGAGGTTAATCTAGTCTAGACATTTGTTTCGGGCTTTCGACACATGGTTTAGTTATTAGTCCCATTTTTGTATTTTTAGTCACAATATACCAAAAGCATGGCTACTGGAAGCAACTAGGATATCTCATTTTGAAAAGAGAAGTTCTCCAACATTTAGCAATGTTGATATAATGGGGACTCTTTATTTCAACGAATAATTAATCGGATAGAAGAAGATTATGAACATATTTGCTCAAAATTTCATTTATCAGATTCCATTATGGAACACACGAATTTTTCTAAAAAATTATCCATATATCTAATCCATACATGATATCATAAAAAATATTTAAAAGAGAATCCAAACCCTAAATCAATGTTATTTGTTTAGACATTAGACAAGCATTAAAGATATTTGGGCAGAAAATTCACTAATTTACTCTCACTTGATATTTTGTGAATCCAAAAGTTCAAATAAAGTTGTTTCAATATTTTATATTATTTTTTTAGTAATGTTTCAATTTTTTTTGGATCCAAACGATACATGATCATGACAAATTTATGCTGGGAAAATAATTATTTATAGATAAGTTATTTTACTAGTTTTCCAAAATATATCTTATTTTAATTTTTTTTAACTCGGAAGCTAATTTGTAGAATAGTTGTAAAAGAGAACGTTGCTTTCAAATTTATCAAGGTATTTTGTTGATCTCATTCATAATTTTTTTAAAAAAAAATTAAAACTAATTATTAGGACGTTACTTTTTTTTTTATTCATTTAAATCCATCACCGATTTAAATCTGATATTGTCCCACACCTAGTAATATTTTTGTTTCCTTTTTTTGGTATGATATAGCAACACTGTTTATTTAATTTTAAGTTACGGGTGCAATTAAAAAATGTTTGACGTGGGACACAATTTTGTGAAGGTAGTAAGCGTGCTTAATTAATTTTGTTAATATTTATTAAACGATTAAAAAATTAATAAATAAAAGCTCAATACAATAAGATTAAGAATAATAACTACTCTACCAAAAAAAAATTAATAATTAAGCATATTTTTCATAGCAATATTTTTTCACCTTCCAATCCCGTAGTTTGGTAATTTTGTAATTCTCCCATTTGCTATAAATATCCAGCGCGTGGGTACCAAAAAGCACTTCGCGAAGGGAGAGAGAGAGAGAGAGAGAGAGAGAGAGAGAGAGTTCTTCTGCAAACTTCAGCTTCAAGAAACGTCGATGCGAATGAAGGAAGAGAGCGAGAAGCGAAAGAAGGTCTCTTTCAGCGAGGAAGATGTTTTTCTTCTGTCGGAGAGGTCTTTATAATTCTTTCTTTCTTTCTTTCGTTTTCTTCATATTTTTGTGCGCGTTTTGATGTTCGTACTGTCGTCTTCTTGGCCGTCGTTTTGGTGTTATATACAAAATAAGCAGGTACAACGCAAGCACAGTGTTGAAATTGCTTCAGGAAATGGCGAATTATCCGCATTCGAAGTTTGAGTGGGACGAGTTGGTCAAGAAAACTTCAACCGGAATTTCTAATGCTGGAGAATATCAGATGCTGTGGCGTCACTTGGCGTACGGTCATGCCTTGGTTGAAAATTTTGAAGACGCTGCTCAACCATTGGTATGTATACTTTTCTTCATTTTTCTCTTTACATGTTTTCAAAGGGAAAAATATTTATCTTGGGATAATCTTATCTGAACAGTAAAAGGATATTGTTTTGGGTTTAATAAGAGGGTAAATGAAATGTTATGTTACATTGATCTAACATAACAATTCCTACTCTCACAATGGAGAGGATAGAGAAGAAAGGGGAGTGAAGAGAGAAAAAATTAAGAATAGAATCTACATATAATTGTGAGAGTAGGAATGTTATCTTACAACATAACAATCCATTTACCCTTAATAAAAAACGAAAATTATATTTATGAATTTTTTTAAGAGGACGTTGTTTTTGTTATATCAAAATTAAGTAAGGCCTTTGTTATTATGTTGTAACTGTTAATTTTGATTTAGATTCAATATTAAAAATAAAAAGTGACAAGATGGTAATGAAAGAAAAATTATAAATATAATTTCCTTTAAATGATTATTAGTTTCTCTTGTAATATATATATATATATATTCTTCAAAAAAAATTCCCCAAAAACGACGTCATTGAATCATGTTTTGATCAAATAGACTATTTTTTTTTTCTAACCCAGAGTGGTTTGAAATTCAATAATTTAAAATTATGTTCAAACGCAATTTAATACATTTAAATTACAGGGGAGGTTATACTTATTTCTGAAAAAATTTACTACTCTTATTACTAAATTAAAATTAGGGAAAGGTTATAATTTATTGAAAATTAATTAATTATTAATTTTTAATAAATTATAATTGTTAGATTGATGGAAATTAACGGTAATTAATTAAGTCGTAAAAATAATGAGCTTGCAATTTTTTATGCTGCATGAAAAATTCAAGTTTTCCTACAGAGAGAGAAAGGGATGAGGCTCACGAGAGTATCTTCTGTACATCGGTAGTAATTACATCTGTCATTTAACAAGTGCCACTTGGATAAAAAAAATATTTTTTTCTCCTTTCCATAAAGCATGACAGTCATTCCTTATTTTCTGTTGGATAGATGCACTGAGTGAATGATACAGCAGTAGTACCATAGATATTTCCTAGGAGATGAGACTTCTCATGCAACATGAGATGCCTTTTTCCCAAAAATAATATAACTTTTAGTAGTAGTAAATATAACTGCCGCCGTTAAATTAATCCTCAAAGTCTACTCATAACTTTATATCTTTCCCGCGGGAATGAATCGTCTGTGATTTAACCGGTAATTTTGATAAATAAATCAACGGGATGAAAGAGAAAAATATTGGAAAAGAGAATGATAAAAAAATAATATTTGATTTGCCCATAAATGTTTGAGATTGCATCACATTAATTAGATGGTCTGTTTAAATACCACATGATATGATTAATTTCCCTCTCGGTCACAGCCATCTTTAATCTTCAACTTGCTCTTCTCATATCAGTTTTGCTCTATCTGTCTTTCCTTACTGTCAATTTTTCCTTGATCTGTTATTTCTTATGTTCTTGAATTTGTATAACACATTCTTATATTCATACCTATTTGGAGTTGTCTTACTTGCAGGATGATGATAGTGACTTAGAATGTGAACGGGAAGCATTACCCCCTGTAACCAAGGAAACTGCATTAGAAGCTGCAGCATGTGTGAAGGTGAGTAATAATTTACCTAATTATTAACTTCTTTCTGGATATGCTAAGCCTTTGGTTAATTTCTTAGATGCATCGGCAAATTTTCCAAATTTGGAAGAATGTGTTGGAGATGTTAATTTTACTTCGAAAGAGAAACCTAGGGTATTTGGGTGCACAGTAAAGCGTTAATTTTAGCTATAAAGTTGCTTCCTCCACACTGTAATGGGTAGAGATGAGCCAATTAGGCTTGGTCACACTTTTTTTTTTGTACAAAGCTTGGTCGCACTTGATTTAATAAGAAATAGATCCTCACATAATTTATTATTAGCCTTTTTTAATATTTTGTTCCAATATAAGTATAATGTCATATTCAAATATTATTATTGTTATTATAAACAATAATATATATATATTGAGCCGTTTAACAAGTTAACGAGCCACACTTAAATTTAATTCGCTATGGTTGTTTTGTAATCGGACTTTCCAAAGGATCCTTTGTAATTTATTTTAAAATACATTTTTAACCCGCAGGGATCCGGTTCGGTTGCTTTTTTGAATTTATGGTTTTTTTTTCCTTTCCTTTTTTTATGTATTCATTGTAGTTTGAGTTGGATTCTTGTTGTACTTTCTCCATCATCTCGTCATCTCTTCCTCTGTTTAACAGTGTCGGGCCAATTAGTCTGAGTGTATATATATGTGTGCTTGTTAGTGGTGCATAATATTAAAAGTTGTTCGTTCTTCATATTGCGTACTTGGGTTGGTTTACATAAAGCCACCGATAAGCATAGTTCACATTACGGTGTGAATGTTTAAACTTGCTGATGATTGTGCTAATTCTTGTTCTTCAGTTCTGACCCGTGTGTTTCTTGGAACTGTTTATTCATTAGCTAATGATTGCTTCTCATACGCTGAGTGAATCCTCCCCTACTAGCGCGGTGATTGAGGCTCCCTTGACTATAAATGTTCCAGTTTGTGGCTCATCTAAAATTCCTAACGGAAGTTCACAGCCCTTTAATTTGGTGGAAGAGACAAACATTACTTTTCCAGTTACCGTTCCGAGACGGATGACACGGCCAAATAAATCATCAACAAGAGCTATGAAAACAAAAGGATGGTCAGAGGAAGAGGACAAGCAACTACTAGCTGCTGTTCAGTGAGTGGTGGGGTGACGGAAATTGGGTAGACTTGGCTAAAAGACACCATTTTCTATGTAAGAGAAGTCCTTCACAATTGTCTAAGGTGGTTTTTCAACCCTAAACTTGTGACATTAATTGGCTATTATTCGTTATTATTTGTTTTCTTAATGTCCATCATGTATATATTTCGTTCGTGGTCCATGGATGGCAACTTGTTAATCAAATGCCTTTTTGATTAATAGATGGAAGTCTTTGCTAATGGTCGATTTGTCCATCTGGTGGTAAATAAAGGAAATTGAAGTTAAAATTATGGTTTGACCCCTGAGGTTTTAGTCTTTATGACTGTTCACTGAAGTGAATCAATTAAAAGCACATTCTCTACAATTCTTGCATACGTTGTCAAGTTGATGAATTAGTAAAGTAGGTTTGTCCGTTTGTTTTTTTATTATTGGAGGCACTGTTTCTCTGTCTTGATCCTTGGCATCTCGTAGCTAGACTGACTACTTGACTTGGATGTAAAAAAATAAAATAAAATGGTCTGTTTAGCGGAAATTTGATTCCCTGGTCTAATCTAGCAATTCTGTACTGGTCAGCTCTTTTGTTGGGAGGGGCAACTTTTTTTTTTTTTGGAAAATTACAAGAGAAGACAGAACCCTATCTAGCTACTCTAGGACTCTCGGTACCCATTTTATCCTTAGCTACCAGATCAATACAACTATTTGGTGTTGAGAGATTTATAAGGATATCCCTCTTAACAGATAAAGCTTGGTGAGCCATCCAATCAGCCACCGTGTTCCCCTCCCTAAGAGTGTGATTAAGCTGTATGTTCTTGTTGCGATCCAGAAGTTCTCTTACCTTCGTTCCAATAGGAGCTAGTGGGTGATCATTCATCCCTTCTTGTTCTATGAAATCCAACACCTGAGAGGAATCTCCTTCCAAAATAATGTTTGTAAAACCCCTCTCCCAGGCTATTTTCATACCTGTTAGACAACTCCATAGCTCTGCTCTGAAGGAATGGCCTTGCCCAAGGTATTTTGAAAATCCCAAGACCCACTCTCCTCTGCAATCTCTAATCACTCCACCACAACCAGATATCAGGCCTCCCCTGGAGCTTGCTCCATCTACATTTAGTTTCAGCCAACCAAAAGGAGGGGAAATCCATTTCACCATCTGCAATCTGTAGCTCTCATAATGACAAATAATGCTTCAAATGCTACTTTGAGTGTTAGGCCGAACCCCATTGAAGACAAAATCATTTCTCTCTCTCTCCATAAAACCCAAGAACAAATGCCAAAAAGAAGAGACCAATCTCTGGAATTAGAATCATCATTAACCCTTTTAGTGTTATCTTATATCCACTCCCTTAAGGGCTTAGAGCAAAACATAGGCCAATAGCTTGGGTAGACCAGAGCTTTCCAAACTTTTTGGAACCAATTACAGTCTCTGATCGCATGTAGGGAGCTTTCTGGATGACTAAGACATTGAGGGCATATGTTGGAGGTTGCAAAGTGTTCGCTAAATCTTCTTTGGTTTGTCATCAGGTCATCACTATCAATAGCCATAGGAAGGTTTGGACTTTGCTAGGACCATCCCACTTCCAGATGATTTTCCAGTTGAAATTTGTTTGGACAATTTGAGGATTCCTTAACATATTATAGGCTGATTTAACAGAGAAGCACCCATCATTTGACTCAGCCCAACAAACTCAATCTTCCCCATTGTCCTGATTAGCAGGCATAATGCTTGCTATCAGTCTTCTTACTTCTTGTGTGATCCAATTCTTCATTTTCTGCCAATCCCAAGTACCATCATTTTTGACGAACTTGGACACTTTTTCCTGAAGAAGACTTTACGGGATATCTTCCATAATAATCCCTTGAAGACTTCCAATATTCAAAATCCAGGGGTCTAACCAGAATCTAGTTTTATCCCCATTTCCCACAATGATTTTCAAGTGTGCCTTTACCTCAGGCCAGACTTTCACCACTCCTTTCCATAGGTTGGAGCCATTGGAAGAAGCTTTGATTTCAGGGATGATCTCATTACCAATTTGGTATTTATTTTTGAGAACATGAACCCAGAGAGCATCTTGTTTTGTAAGAGTTCCGAAGCTTATCTTCATTAGGAATGCTCTTTTGACATCTCTCATTGATTTAAGGCCCAAACCACCTACTTATTTTGGAGTACAAACCCTCTTCCAAGCCACATGATGGGGACTATTCTCATTACTTCTTGAGTTCCGCAAGAAGCCCTGAGTAGTTTTTTCAATTTCATCGCAAGTACCCAGGAGAAGGAGGTTAGTTTTCATGGCATACATAGGCAGAGCAGAAAGAACCGATTGAGCAAGTACATTTCTGCCAGCCAGAGATAGAGTTCTTCTCTTCCAAGATCCCAGCTTCCTGTTCACTCTCTCCATGATATGGCTGAAGCTACCTTTAGTGACCCTCTTGTGGTGAAGGTTAATCCCTAGGTATTTCCCCATGTCACAAGTTAAGCCAAACCCTAACTCATTACTCAACTTCATGGCATGATTGTGGTTAACATTCTTCGACATAAGCACTCTAGTCTTTTCAGCACTAGTACTTTGGCCAGAACTGTTACAAAAGCAATTGAGGATTTGCTTTATGATTTTAGTTTGCTTCAAGGAAGCTTATCCAAACAAAAGTAAATCTTCCGCTAAAAAAGATGGGAAATAGGAGGGCTATTCTTCCTTAAAACCACTGGTTTCCACTCTCTTTTTCCATCGCCAAGCTGATGGGATGAGCCAACCTTTCAATGCAAAGAATGAAAAGGTATGGAGAAAGGGGATCCCCTTACCTCACTCCTTTGGAAGGTTTAAATTCTCTAGTAGCAGCTCCATTCCACAACACATTCATTAAGCAAGTCGAAACGCAGCTCATGATTATGTTTATTAGGGACTCAGGTAAACCAATTTCTTTGAGGGTGTCTTGAATAAAATCCCACCCCAGTTTGTCATAAGCTTTCTCCAAGTCGACTTTAACAGCTATCCATCCTTTTTTTCGGAGGGGCAACTTTTGAGTCTGTTGATAACTGACTAGTTTTGCGAGACATCATTTCTTAACTGTGTCATTCTTACTTGTATCTAACAAGAACAAAAGAAAATTTTGAGTGAAAAGAGATTTTTATGTTAGGGTTTAAAGTTTTGTTGAGAATATAAAATTAACTCTTACGCATATATAAAAGTGTATAAACCTCATGAGGGTCTATGTGAGGAGAAGAGAGAGAAAGAGAAATATTAGGTTTTACACACTTTTATGTGTGTATAAAAAGATAAATTATTTCTTATAACATGAGAAATTTTGAATCCTTTGTATTATTGTGTTGTATTTTTCCAGATTTCAGGCTTCGTTAAATAGATATATATATATATATATATATATATATATATATATGGAAATATAGCTCTTATGTTGTAGAAGAATTTTTCTTCTCCTGCAATGAATTAACACTGTATTATGGGTAGTATATAGTAGTAATTTTAAAAGTTATTTTTTTTTTCTCTCCTCATAAGATGTCGGCTGACGTGGCAAAGAAAGAAAAATTAACTTTAATATTACAATTATGTACTACCGGTAGTACGTAGTGTTAATTGATTGCAGGAGCAGTTTCTTCTCCTATAACATGAGAAGTTCGGGACCCACATACATAGATATATATGAGAAGTTCGGGACCCACATACACAGATATATATATATGCCATTGTCATCTTGTTAGGTCAGGACATTTGGTTGTCCCCCAGTTTTACCAAAGGAGATAATCCTTGCCAATATTTTTTCTTTTGCTGCTTGTTTTATGAATGTTTAATGTGATTTAGTAATTGTACCATATATTTTTGTTATTTATTTTTTATGCTATATATTATTATGAGTTATCCAAAAATGAGTTATCCAAAAACTTTGCAGAGATGGAGCTTTTTACTAAACAAATATGGTGACACCAATTGAGAAACCACCTCAACAAATTCACAGAATACTGTTGAACAGCTGGCAACAGGTCACTACTTGATAAGCAACCCAAAAAGTTAAATGCCCCTTCAATGAATGATACTGCGGATTGTCGTCTATTTGTATGCTAATTTCTAGTCTAAAATAGTAATGGTCCATCATGTATGTTAAGGAATAATGATACTCGTTTGATTTTGAAAGTGTTTTTAAGTTGTCAAAAAAGATTTTTTTTTTTACTCAAATTTAACTAATATAGCATGTTATAAGTAATTCCCTGGAGGTGAAAGTAAACTCACTAAATTATAGATGTTTAATTATTGGATGTAAGAAATGAAAAGGAAATAATATTTCATTGATCTTCAATTGTTAAAATATGTATAAATTATTGACACAATAATATTAATTTATGTACGCGCGATGTCAATTTGTGAAAAAATCTTTTAAAATTATTGAAGTAGAGGAGAAAGTGTGAAAAAATAACAAATTTTAAAGTCTTTTCTTTATTCTAATAGAATGTTACTCTTTTTTTTTTGGTAGACAGAATGTTATTTTATGTAAATGCAATCAAGATTGAATTTGAAACATAACTATTATATTAAAAAGTAATAATATTTTTTCTTATTTAATTTTGTTATAAAGAAATGCCAGTAAATTTTTATTAACCTTCTCTTTTCAACACTTTTTTTATGTACTATTGGGTGAAATCCATGTAAATCCTTCTAAATAACATAAGTTGGTGAGAAACTACGTAAAATTTCATCCAATAATAAAGAAAATGCTTTTAAAAAAAATGTGAAAGAGCGTATTAGTAGGATTTCTCTTTATATAAAGGAATTGTCTCCCTTAGGTAAAACACCAGAGAATTCAACCTTAAACCTTTGCTGAAGATATGGCTAGAAGATTATTATTTATTATATATTTAACTGGGTACGATTATTATATGTATGAAATTAAACATGCAAAAATACATACATTGACATGAAATTGAGAGAGAAAATCATTTGTGTTGTGTGTAGTAGAAGTAGTATAAGGGAGTTAGTCCCACATTATGTATTTTAGATTATATTTAGTCAATAGTTCTAAATAATATAATCTTCGCTGCCTATTACACACACGGATTCATTCAAATGTTCCTTTCGTCTCTTGTTACTCTACATTGTATCTAGAGCCTAATGAGAGGAACCTTAATCTGCTTATTCTCTTCGGTGAACCCATTGTTCATCGCCTTTTCAATTTTTTTTTTCGGGATACTGTCTCTTTGTCAGTTTCTGAACGTCTCTTTTGTTCTTGGGTTATCTCATCGTAGTTATCCGCCCTTTCTCATTACGAACTGCCGTCGGAAACCTGTTGACCGTTGTTCCTCCATCGTTGACCATCACCGTCCGGTGGATTTTGCCGGCAATCCATCTACCATTATTCTCATCTCAGCAACGTGGTTCTCTTTATCCAGGTTGCGTCCTCGTCTGATCAGTCGCGCGCGCGTGGAAGTTGCGCAGCTCCCTTCGGTTGACTAGTGCATGGAGGCCCTTTTCCAGCAGCTACCGGTTGGATTTTTCTCCCCTCTCCAAGACGGTTCTGGATCTGGTTTTGTTTTGGTGTTTCGACTTCGTTATTATTGAAGCGCAGATCCCACTCCTTCCGGATAGTTTTGTGATCTGTCGTTTCTAATTTTTTGGTCTTTTTTGTGATTATGGATTTTATTCCTATCTCTTTTGTTTCTGAGTCTCCGACTGGTCGTGGACGTAAACCCTCTAAGGGTTGGTTACTTTGCACTCATTGTCATCGAACTAATCATACTATTGACCGTTGTTTGAAGGTCCATGGCAAGCTACCTCAGTCTCCTCAGACTGCTTATGTTGCTCAGGTTCCTTCTGTTGCTCCTGATCTAGGGTTATCTTCTGCACCATAACCTCCTGCATCTCTTCATCATGAATTTGTAACTTGGTGGTCTAAAAAGCAAGCATCTGGTTCTACTGCCTCAATTGCTCCATCTGGTAATTCTTTTGCTGGGATCTTTCAGTTACAATCTCTAGGCCTTCAGACTCTTGATTCTGGGGCTTCTGATTACATATCTGGTAATAAGTCTTTATTCACCTCTCTTTGTACTACTGGTTCATTTCCTACTATTATTATGACCAATGGGTCTTTGGTCTGATCCCGTGGGATCGGTACGGTTCTTCTTTTCCCTACTTTATCTTTGGATCATGTTCTCTATGTTTCTGATTCCTCTTTTAACTTACTTTCCATTAGCCGTTTGAACAAATCCCTTGATTGTGTGGTTTCCTTTACTAAAACTTCTGTCATTTTGCATTATCAGAGTTTGGTCTGATCCCGTGGGATCGGTATGGTTCTTCTTTTCCCCACTTTATCTTTGGATCATGTTCTCTATGTTTCTGATTCCTCTTTTAACTTACTTTCCATTAGCCGTTTGAACAAATCCCTTGATTGTGTGGTTTCCTTTACGAAAACTTCTGTCATTTTGCATTATTAGAGTTCGGGGAAGGTGATTGCCAGAGGATGTGAGTTTCACGGGCTCTATCAAATTTTCCCTTCTTCTTCAGCTTGTTCTACTGTGGATTCTCCCCACTATCCATGGTCGTTTGGATCATCCAAGTCTTGCCAAGCTTCAGAAGATAGTACTTCATTTATCATCTCTTTCTAATTTACATTATGAGTCATGTCAGTTTGAAAAACATACTCGTAGTACGTTCCCAAGTCGTCTTAGTCATCGAGCTTTGTCTCTTTTTTCGTTGGTCCATTATGATATTTGGGGGTCGAGTTGTCATCCTTTTTCTTTGGGGTTTAAGTATTTTGTTATATTTATTGATGATTATTCCAGATGTACTTGGTTGTTTTTAATGAGAAATCATTTTAAGTTATTCTCTATTTTTCAGTTATTCTATAATGAAATCAAAACTCAGTTTGGTATTCCTATTCGTACTTTTCGTAGTGATAATGCATATGAATATTTATCTCATCAATTTCAACAATTATTTTCTTCTCATGGCATTCTTCACCGAACATCTTGTCCTCATACACCTCACAAAATGGTGTAGCTGAGCGTAAGAACCAAAGAGATGATGGCAATGTTACCTACAAGTTTTGGGGTGATGATGTTCTCACCGTATGCTATCTCATTAATCGCATGGCTTCTTCTGTTCTTAATCACCAGGTATCTCACTCAGTTTTGTTCCCTCATTAACATTGATATCCTTTGACCCCACATGCCTTTGGTTCTACGTGTTTTATTCATCATCTCGGTCCCAGCTTGAATAAACTAGCACCTAACTCTCATAAATGTGTTTTTTCGGTTTATCCTCGGTCTCAAAAGGGTTACCGTTGCTACTCTCCGACTCTATGTCGATACTTTATCTCTGTAAATGTTTCCTTCTTCGAATCAGTCCTGTTTGTTGGCTCCATTATTTCTCCTTTGGACTCTGGTTCTGTTTAGTCATCTCTTCTTGCCGCCTCCATTGAATACCTTCCGCCTTTCTCGGTCTTTGTGTCTGACTCTCCTTTGGTCATATCTTCTCCTAGTGAGCTGCAACCTGTTTCCCCTCTTTGGGTTTCTCCAGATGTTTCTATAGGCTCACATCCGACTGCATCTCCTCCTTCGGCTTCAGTCCCACCTTTGGCTATTGACCTTCCCATTGCTCTCCATAAAGGTACCCGTGATACCTGCCCTCTAGCTAGGTATTCAGTTAATATTCGTTACCATCGTCTTTCTCCATCATATTTTGCATGTCTTTCTTCTTTGTCTTCTGTGTCTATTCCTAAGACTACAGGTGAAACACTTTCACATTTCGGATGGAGACAGGCTATGATTGACGAAATGAGTGCTCTTCAGCACAATGATACATGGGATATGGTCTTCCGTCTGGGAAATCAGTTGTTGGCTGCCGCTGGATTTATGCTATTAAGGTTGGTCCTAATGGTAAAGTAGATTGTCATAAAGTCCGCTTAGTGGCGAAGGGTTTCACTCAGGTGTTTGGAGTAGATAATGGTGACACTTTTTTCCTTGTGGCGAAGATGTCTTCTGTTTGCCTCTTTATTGCCATGGCTGTTATCTGCCACTGGCCTCTCTATCAACTTGATATTAAGAATACTTTTCTTCATGGTGATCTCGCGGAGGAAGTTTATATAGAGCAACCTCCTGAGTTTGTTGCTCAGGGGGAGTCAGGTCTCGTTTGTTGTCTCCACAAGTCTCTATATGGCCTCAAGTAATCTCCACGAGCTTGGTTTGATAGATTTAGCAGTGTTGTTCAACAATTTGGTATGACTCGAAGTGAGGCTGATCATTCTCTCTTTTATCGTCATTCAGCTTTCGGGTCTATCTACTTGGTGGTGTATGTTTGATGATATTGTCATCACAAGTAGTAATCATGGGATTACTCAGTTGAAGCAACATTTATGTCATCATTTTTAGACCAAGGATTTTGGGAAACTTCGATATTTCTTGGGAATCGAGGTGGCCCAATCTAAATATGGAATTGTGATATCTCAGAGGAAATATGCTCTGGATATTCTTGAAAAGATTGCTTTTTTAAATTCTAAGTCTGCTGATACCCCAATGGATCCAAAAGTCAAGCTTCTACCGAATCAAGGGGAGCCCTTTTCAGATCCAGAAATGTATAAAAGATTGGTTGGAAAACTGAACTACCTCAGAGTCACTCGGCCTAGCATTTCATTTGCAGTTAGTGTGGTAAGTCAATTTCTTAATTCTCCGTGTCAAGATCATTGAAATGCCGTCATTCGTATTCTCAAGTATATCGAGGCATCTCCAAGAAAAGGACTTATATGAAGATAATAGGAGATTTACTAGTGGATATTGTGTCTTCGTTCGAGGCAACTCGGTTTCCTGGAAAAGTAAGAAACATAATGTATTTGCCAGATCAAGTGCTGAAGCAGAGTATCACTTCATGGCTACTACTACTTGTGAGCTCATTTGGCTTAAGCAACTTCTTAGAGAGCTCAAGTTTGGAGACAATGGACCAGCAACCCTCATTTGTGATAACCAAGCAGCACTACACATTTTTTCCAATCGTGTGTTTTATAAATGAACCAAGTATGTCGAGATAGATTATCACTTTTTTTGAGAGAAGGTCTTTTCTGGTGAAATTATGATCAGTTTTGTACCATCTAACGATCAATTAGCAAATGTATTTACTAAGTCTTTGAGGGGCCTAGAATAGAGTATATATATAACAAGCTTGGTGCTGATAATTTATACGTTCCAGCTTAGGGGGAGTGTTATATATAATAGAAGTAGTATAAGGGAGTTAGTCCCATATCATGTATTTTAGATTGTATTTAGTCAATAGTTATATATATAATAACCTCCGTTGTGCTATTACACCCACGGATTCATTCAAGTGTTCCTTTCGTCGTCGTCTCTTGTTACTCTACAATTTGCTTTCAGAATATGTGTATACAGACAAACACATGCATTATAAGAAATTAAAAACATTATAATAACTTTCTGTTTCTATTGTCACAAGCATTCCACTACAGACTTAGAGTTTTCCAAGGACATAACAAGGGAGTCCAAGTTGTTCTATATTGGGGCGTTATTTTGATCAATGACACTGTATTGCTTCTGCAGTGCCGGATTAACACATGAAAACAGCGATTGATGATGCTTCTTCTTCAATTTGACTCCAAACAAGAAAGACCTCAAGGGTATTCGAGCACGATTTGGTGACTGTTTCGTGGACCCATGATTATTATTAATCCCAATAGCTTGATCAAGCTCATCTAGTGTCTTCTCAACATCATTTTTCATTCCCTTCACAAGGCTAAGACCTGCTTGTAGTTCACTTGCAACCTTACTGTTCTCTTGTTTCATGTTGATAATCTCACCCTGAAACTTTGCAGCTTGATACCCACTTATTAGCTCTCCTTTTTCAGCACCAGATTCTGCATTACCTGCTCTTGCTATTTCATCTTGGATGTTGCACAAGGATGAATATCTACCTTGCAGTTCGTCCTGCAACACTGCATTATGTTCCAGCCACAGTGATAACTCAGTTCTTATCTCTCTCAGGTGTCTGAATATTGGCCTAATCTGAGATTGTATGGACTGATGTCTAGAATGTGAGTGCCCTTCAGACCTATTGTTTTCCTTTATTCTCCTCAGCTCTGCTTTTAAGTCTTGGATAGAGTTTTGAAACTTTTGAATCTGATGAACTGAAGTGCTAAACCTCAACCAAAACTCTAGATTCTCCTCCAACAGGTCATCGATATCTGAACGGAATTTCTTTTCCAAGTTTGAAAGGTCATGGCGCTTATCCTGGTCTGCCATTAGCTTCTCTAAGGTAGATGATAAGATAAGATTTTCTTTGCTTTCAGATTCAACATGTTCGGCGAAAGAAGTTCTCACTGTATTTGCCTCTAAACTTAAAGGTGAAACTCCAGATTCGTGCATGTTAGCTTCATGAGCTCCTTTTTGAAGAAGCGCTTCATGGGGGGTATATTTATATTCAGTGGTAAGGGTGTAGGGACTTGCATCAGGATTTGTGTCTGGACCGTTCAGCTTCTGATGTAAAAACTGTATCTCTTTGTCCTTCGTGCCAAGAGCATTCTTCAATTCCCTTAGCTGCAGGGACAATTCTGCATTAGTGGGAGTAAAGACCATTGTCCCCACTATATAATGTTGAGTATAAAATTCACATAAAGCATACCCATACACTATATTTAAGGAGAAATTATTGTATCATTTTTCTTCATCCTGTGTTGATGTTCAATTTTTACAAAAATAAATGCTGCTTTTCTTTCTTTCTTCTATAATATTCATGCATGTGGGTGTTTGTTCCATTCTTCAAAATTTAAACACCACTGCTAATAATAAAACCATACATTTACAATGGTATCATTTTTTGTTTTCAAATTTCTTATCATTGTACCAATTTCTAAATATATATCAGATTTGATAAGATGATTGTACTATTAAGTAAAATTTAAAGATTGATCATTGCTTACCTGAAGTGCCAACTCAAAAATGCTGTCCCGGTTTTTCTTTTCCACATCATTGAGCTTCACTCTGACATCCTTGTAGTTCCTTAAAACTGATGTGTACTCCTCCAACAGAATCTTTTCTCTATCATCTAATCCACTTATAAACATCTGCCTCCAGTTAGGTTCATCTTCCTCACCAATATCCAAATCCTGAGATTCAATGTCGAGATTGCTCACTGTGTCAGACATATCATCCTTATCCTGTTGTACCTGCTTTTGAATCCTTTTAGTCATAAAATTACTACTTTCGCTCAAATTGGACTTGTTATCATCCACATTTGCAGCAGCATCTTCATTTATTGTCTTCACATCCTTCATGACCGTTGAGTCTTCAACTGACAATTCATCACCATGTTTTTCATCAGTAGCACTTTTCTTCTTCTTGTAAAGTACCAGATTCTCATCCTCCACATCTGGCTTCATATTATTCAATTTTCCAGAAAGGAGCTCAAGATTACAGCTAGCTTCAGTAAAGTGTGTTTGGAGGCTTTTGCCTTGGGTTTTGACACTTCGGTTGAGAAGTTTAACTCTCCTCAATTCCTCCTCCAATTCTTTTAGCTTCTTGTTGGTAACTTCTGAACCTTCTATGAGCATTTCCCTATCCTCTTCCAACTTCCTTATATTTGTCTGAAGTTCATCTGTGTCTGAGCTCAGTCTCTTTACCAAACCAGTCTGAGAAGAGACTGCAGTTTCCAAGTTAACAACCTTATTTACAAGCTCATCAATGCACTCAGCCATTTCAGTCACAGTGAGGTTGTTACCTGAATCTTCCTCCAATTTTTCTTTAATCTTCTCTCGCAACAGTTCAATATCATGCTCCTCTTGCTCCAAGCTAGCCATCTCTTCATCTATGTTTTTTTCTTCTGTTCTTATGCAACATTTGTCCTCATTATCTTGGTCTTGTTGACTCATATATTTAGAAATGAATTGGTCTCTAAGGTTTTCAAACATCTCATGAGCTTCCTTAACCCTTTCATACTCCACTTTAGCTTCTTTAGATGATTGTGCTTGAATCTCTTGCAACTTAGCCAGGGTCTCTTGGCATGATTTTAGAGCTCTGGCTGCCATTAAAGCTCGAGCATCATCATCTTCTATGACTGTACCAACACCAAACTCATCTTGCAAGCTGCAAACTCTTTTTTGCACAGATGTGATCTGGTCTTCGATTTCCCAGTACTTTTCATAGGAACGTTCATACAAACTCCTTACAAACTCTTTCTCAGTCTGCAACGCCAAAATATCTTTCTGAAGCTTGTCAATTTCAGCAAGTGCTGCAACCTCGGTAAGACCTGATCTTGGAGCTGTTGGAACATATTTTGCATAGCTAGTACTCCTCTTAGGTGGGCCCTTCCTAGAGAGCAACATGGAAGGGCTTCTAAAATCCTTCTTAGGGATCTTGGGAACTTGAGGAACAGTCACTGATTTATTTATTTGATTGTTGGAGTCTGGAGATGATCGATTTGTTAATGTATCAGTAACATCATCATCATCATCTTCATCAATTTGACATGGAACTTGTTCTGGGAAGACACTGGCAATAGTGCGGTTGGCACTTTGGAGCTCCTTGGATAAATGATCATATCTCTCTGCTAAGGCTCTATATGCTCTAAAGGTTTCTTCCACAAAATTTACTAGCTCTGGCCTCTTCTTGTAATACATTTCTGCTCTCTTGGCAAATGAGTCCCCATCATCATGCAGGATTCTGAGGGTCTCAGTCACCTTCTCCTCCATATCTGTTATTAATAGTTTGCGTATCATTTTGACAAAGAATTTTATTCGAAGGGATAAAGTATAATTATACAGATGAGAACTTCAGCTATAGGAAACAAGGGGAGGGCTTATGCACCTATGAAACATATAGAACTACATTTGACTATATATATATATATATATATGATTTTCATCTATTTTCCTACATTCCTATCATTTTGCTTTATTTCTCTAAAATCATCAATTAAATTCTACACTATACCTTGTTATGTAGATATATCATATAGCAATCGGAAAATGGTGAATAAATAAGAAAAGTGCAATATTGAAGGAAATGCATCATTTTTTCATGCATGTAGATTGCCTACCATATTTGGATGAATCAACAAGATTCCAAAATTTCCAAATAATTAGTTTGGGAAATCAAGACAACATGAGAATGGAGGTCATTCTAAAATCGCCTGAAAATTGATACCTCCTATGTTCATGAACCTAATGGCCAACAAAATATGTTTGCTTTGATAGGACAAGTGATGATCGTTGAGGAACAATATGTACATATTATTACTAACAAACGTACCTTGGAGGCTTTGTTCCAGCCATTTCGACTGCTTTGTCCTTATGTGGCTTGCCCACCACCAAGAATATGCATTGCTTGCTGCCCTTTGCAACATTTTTGTCTTAGGTAACAATCATACACATTCAACCCATTCAGGTAAAAGTAAAACCTTAACGATGAAGATGAATGAAACCAAACAATGTGACTCAGTCAAACAAAATTTCTGATCAGAGAAAAGCTATGATTTTAATTATCATGGTGATTAATGGAATTATGGAGAAAAGAAAAACATAAGCTCCTATGTGGTACACATGGAGTGGAGGATACTTCGCCACAAGCTTACGTGTAAGGTGTTGGCTTCTTTGGAGATCTCAAAAGTTGGAGGGCTTAGTTAGGACAATTTCTCCACTTAGTGTGGGTGTTGGTTTAGCCAGGCTGGTCCTTGTTGGCAAACGTTAGGGAAAAGGAATTTAACAAATTTTAGAGGCACATTTCACCATTCAAAAAAAATATGCATGGAGAATTCAATACTTAAAAGAGTAAGTTTTTCTTATGGGATATTGGCAAAGTTGTTAGTTGTTAGTAAAAACTAACAAATTTGTTCTTAATTTTGAAACCCAAAATGGGAGAAAGGTTTCTAGTAGCTACTTTCCTTTTGTAAAAATAGAATAATCGTGAATAAAAATGTTTAAAATTAATACTACAAAATTTTATATGTTGGTTATATCTCTTATAATTAGTAAATTCTAGGATATTCGCAATCGACTTCTGTTAATAGTTTATTTGCGAGGATATTAAGTTGTGCAGTTTTAGTAACAATTATTGTTGAAAAAATAATTATTTCAAGAACTTTTCCATCAAAAGTGTTTTGAAACATAAAATACATATTTAATGTAATACAGTTATTTGATTATTATTTTTTTGTCTTTTTTACTTAGTTTATTTTTTGTGAATATGTCAATTTCTGGCCGTGGGCAATCGAAAAAGAGTGCCTCAGCAGTCAGCCCTCAGGCTCATAGTAAGAGAAGCTTGCCTAAATGACATTTGGTATTAGCCTTGTAAGAATAGGAAATAAGTTGATCCTATACGATACATAGCACCTTTGTTTTTTTCCATCTCCATCCTTCTCTTATTGACAAAAAAAAAAAAAAAGAATGAGGCTCTTACGAGTAAGCTCAGAGATTTCAATACAAAATTAATTTTTCTTTAAATAGTAAAAGAAGCTTGCCTCAATGACATTTGGCATCTTGTAAGAATACGCAAAATGAGTTTTATCCTATCATATAGTCACATCTTTTTAGTTTTTTCCCGTCCCATATTAACAAAAAATAAAATAAAGTGAAGCTCTTGGAGTAGTGGGGTCAATTCAAGCCAACACGTTACGGTTTGAATTGATTTTTTTTTTTTTTTTCTCCATATATTCTTCGACCCACAATTAAAGACTAATTCTGTTGAGGCGAGAGATTACATTAAGTGAATAAATTTTCTTCTGACAAAACATTTTTCATACACATCTAGAGATTGAATCTCTATCAACATATTTAAAGAACCCAAATTATTTACCAATTGTGCTGAACTTGTTAGTATATTGAATTTTAGATTACTCTGTAATAAATTTGGTGTGATAGCTTAGTCTTAAGTGGATTACTTTAGTTGGGTTGTTGGTTCATTTATTTATACAATTATAATTTAAAGATGTTAAATTTTAAATGATTTATTAAATTATTTTTTATTCAAAAAATAAAAAATAAAAAAATTAAATTAATTGTTACTTAAACTATATAAATAGTTATTTTAAAAATAACATTTAGGTAAACTCAAAAAATTAAAAATTATTATAATAATAATTTGAAAATGGATTATCTCGTGTGAAAAAAAAAATTATATGATCATGTAAGAAAATTACTATCATACAAAAACAAATCAACAGATTTTATAATTATTTATTTTAATATTTTTTCTTTTATTATCATTAATTCATATTTATATAATTATGATTTTTCATATGATCGTATATATTTTATTAACAGGAGAGGATCATGTCCTAGTAATTTTGAGTTGGTCTGGTAAGCCGAATCACGACAGACTGGATTAAGTTGGACCAGATTTTTTTTTAAATTTTAGTTTCAACCCATACATTTCATGAGGTTATTTGGGTTCGTCGTCAAGTTTGACTTATTTTCACACCCCAATAGAGATAAAAAAAAAATGTAATGTAAGCGCTAATGTGCACGTCATTGTTTACAAGACTAGCGTATAATCTAAAAGTATAAGGCGAATTTACACAAAAAAAGAAGAAAAAAGAAGTATAAGACGATGAAATTTGAGATCAAGTAATTTATGGTAAGAACATCTTCACCAAGCATTTCAGAGAGTCCAAAACTTAGAGACTAATTGTGTGTTTGCATTAGATTGTTTTAAAAAAATAATTAACTCTTTAATTTCTTGAGAAAACTTAAAAATAATTATTTCTCTAAACTAAGCTATAAACAAAGAAAAAAGTGTGTATCATTTTAAAGAATGTAAAGTTGTGTTATTTTAAGTGAGAGAAAGAGATAGATAAAGGAGGAGAGAGAGTAGATAAAAAAATAAAAAGGTGTGGATCCCACATCTTTGTGAAAGTGAAAGAATATAAGTTGTGTCATTTAAAAAGATAAACATTTTTTCCATAAACAATATTATTTACAAAAAAAAAAAATATGCTATATATTACCTTAATGAGAATTTATTGTAGAATTACATATTGTCTACCAAAGAGAAAAACCTCACCTATGCGAGTATATACTCTCAAGTTGAGATTAAATTCCCAAGCCAATATATTAACTACATGTTCTAAGAAGGAAACCCAACAAGAACTGTAATTAACCTTGAATCCTCAAAGGAAACGCTAAATGGTAATAATATATTGGACAAATAGAGACACAAGCCCTTTAGAGACTTTTGATTACTTGCGGATATATACAAAAGTGTGCTAATTTAACTATACACCCATGCGAACCTCAAAAACACACACATATATACAAAGTACACCCAGGTTACACAAAATTTATATACAGTTATATACAAATTTGAGTACATGATTCAGCATTTAACCAATCCCTATATCTACATAAATATTTACATCAACGAATAGCAAGCTCCAAAATCACACTTCAACATGCATTCATCCAATCTTTCTCCTTCTCCCAATTCCGCCTCAATGTTTTTATTCTCGAAGTCTCAGAGCAGACACCATTCTCAGACATTGCTAAAAGCATCACAACTGCTTTATTTTTTACCATATCTTTGCTCCTCATATATTTGAATTAACCGTTTACTAATCATATTCTGACATCACATCACATCACAGCCTTTCTTTTTTTCTTTTTACAATATTTACATTATACAATTGTGTATTGGCTAAAGATCACAAAGGAGATTTTGTCATGAAGATGCAGGATCACAATGATGAATATTTGTGCATCAGGTATTTCGAAGAGAAGAAAGCCAGTTTTCCACATATTTCTTGCTCTCTGCGAATAGAGGGGAAAAAGCATAAATGTTATACTTCTAGCAACCAGAATAAAAAGAAAATCTGAATGCCATATAACTACCAAAATATGCACAAAGTCCAAATGAACAATAATCTCACATGTCAATCATACTTCATAAGTCTGAGTGCACTCTCCATTGGATTTAAAACCAGTTCATTACTGTCAATAGGATTGTTGATTTCAGATAAATGGCTCATGGGTCATGGACGCAAAGGCAGAATAATAAATCCTACCAAATCTTAAATTTTATTCTAAGGTTAAGAAAACTTAGCAAGACCAAATGAATAAAAATCGTTGAGTTAAAATCCTATAACCCCCAAATCACATTTGCCTCTTATGGACAAATGCAGCATGATTGCCAAATTCTGTGCTTATCTTCATTTATAACAAAACGAAGTAACGTTCTCTTCAAGACAAGAAAATAAATTAGACATAACATTAAATGCCAAATGATATGCTACAGAAAACATTTGCTTAATTCTAACCAAAAGATTACATCAGCAGCACATGAAAGGTCACTTATCTTTCAAGATTAAAAAGAGCAAACTTTTATGCAGTTAAATAAAGTAAAGAACCAATGCTTAGACCTGTGCTTTGAAATCAGCATTACATGCACAAACCCCAACAAAAATTTAAAGGCAACCAACATTTTGAATAGCTTTTACATTTTTAACAACTATTCAATCCAAGTGCATGCATTCGAATTCCAATGATCCATTAAATTAAACAGAACATAAAGATAAAAACCAAGTGGACAACAGCACAAGGGTAACTCTTAAGAGATTAAAATAAAAATACTCTTACCATCTGAATAACTATCTGGAAAATTCCCAACACCGCTCAGTAAGTTGCTTTTAGGATCCTCCACGATTCTACCATAATCTCGTCCATAACATGGAACCAGAACAGCAAAACTGTTATCTGTTTCATCATCATTTGGGAAATCAGGTCCATGAGGCTCTAACCAGCCAATTGACCAATCAGAGTCATCAGATTCAGAACCAGAAACCCATCCACCATCAGATGGAACCAAAACAACATCATGTTCCCTATCTATCTTCCTCTCTTCCCTACTATGCCATTTGCGCTTCACCCTCCTTGATGAGGAACCCATATTTGCCTGAACCAAAGGAAATCTCAAAACATCCGATTCCCACAAATTCAAATCGGCAGAAGAATTTAAAGAAGACCCATTTGTGATTCTTGGCTCTTGATGTTTTCCACTCCACAACCACCACGAGAGATTGGTAAAAGCCACAGACATTTACGCACTGTGTCAAACTTTTACAGCAAAACTCTTTCGAAGCTAATGAGTAGAGGCTCCTCTTGAACGCGTAGCACCCTCTTGTTAAGAAAGCCTATTAAGAAGAACTCCATTAGTAACTATGAATCAACAAAAACGGAAAGCTAGCACACCATCTAAATTGAAGTGAAAACAATGTTGAGGACAGAAAATTAGGAAATCCAACGTTTTAATAAAGCACCCGAAGAAAAGAAAAAAAAAAGCTTTCAACCGTGAAAAGAACCCCTTTTCCTCTTAACACACACACACACAAACACTCAGAGAAAAACGAATTGTTTTACCAATCGAAATCAGAAAATGTTTGGTGCTACTTGAATTTCAAGCACCACAAGCAAGTAGAGCATGATTTTATAGCTTTGCTATTGATGGTGTATTCGGCCGCCAAAATAGCGATTCACAGGTTGACCAACACGAATTCACAACAAGCATCTGTCCTAAAATATGTGAATTGTACATTGAATGTATATACAACCAAAACCAAAACCAAAACCAAATCAGTACTCCAAAGTACATTGAATAAAGACACCCATTTTCAAAACAACCAGAATCAAGAGGATAAAACTCTCCTTGACACATAGTCAATACAATAACAGATTCAAAGAAGAAAACCAAGAAAACAAAACGAAACGAAAACAATATAAAAAACAAAAAACAAAAACTGAAATAGCAAAGCTTGAAATAGCCAACACTTAAAACAAATTTTCATCGTGGGAACCATCAAGGTAATCGAATCCCATCCTAAGCTTACAATTTAACTCTGTTTTACAATAAAAGCTTGGATTATTTAACAAAAAAAAAAAAAAAATACAGCTTTAAACACACAAAAACATGTCTTTGTTTCCAAATCATATAAAAACAAGCTGAAATAAAAGAAACCCAGAAGCTGAAACGACAAAGCGTGTCTTGAAAGTACGAATTTTTAACGAAGTTTCAATCATGCAAAGCATTCAGAAACCGCTATTTAAGGAAGGAAAAAAAAAAAAACAAGGAAGAGAGAAACGCCATTAATCAATCAGTATATACCTTAAAAGTTAAAAACTCAGAAAGTCTCTATTTCCAAAATTTCTTATAGTACAATCCAATCGGAACCCACGTTTTCATGAACAATTCGTCTTTTTATAATAATGGCTTTCAAGGGTAAAAGGGAAGAGGAAGAAGAAAGAGAATCACAATTTCTATACGGCATCCAGATACCGTTGGATGATTCTGAATGTCAGGTGGCGTATCAAAAACCGTTCGATCAGTCTGAGCTGTTCCAATAATAATATCACTTGGCATAAACAATAACAACAAGTGACAAATCACCACGTGGACAGAGTAAATTGACATGACAACAGAAGAGTTATTATAAGTTGCAATCAGTTCCACAGAATGAAATCACCGATGAAGTACACGTGGCAAGTGAAAGCAATGTTGTCATAGAGTAAATTTTCGATAAACAGATGTAGATTCATCCTTATTTAAATGGAAAAAAATAGGGATAGGGAAGAAAATAATTATTAAAATAATAGTAATAATATAAATATGTAATTTTTTTATATTTAATAAAAAAATATAAGGAATAGTCAGTATATCCGTATATTGAAAACATTTTACATGATGATGAAATTTGAGAATGAAGGAGCACGTGGAATGGAGGCACACGCGATCCAAACCCGAATGGGGAAGAAGGTGAAGATGAAAGTGGAGTCCAAGTCCATGGTCATAGATGTGGTGCCGGGTGGATGCTGATGAAGTAAACTTGGTGAGTTCGAGGTACATATTTTGCATTTACGTGGATGTGTGGTTCAAGGAACACCATTTTTTTATTTTATTTTTTTTCCTTTTAAACTTTACCCACTTGCTAAGAGTTTGAAGCTTATGGTTCAGGACCTCTATTATTTTATGATCAGATTAATGTAAATACTTTGCTTTTAATATTGACTTCGTAATAGTAAATCATTTTAAGTTTAGTTTTGATTCACGTTCAGCTTAGTATTTTATATATATTAATTAAATCATATATTGTCTTGTTATAGATGATAATGAATAATGCAAAAAAGTTTTATAATAAGGATAAATGAAAATTAAACTCTTCAAAAATAATTATTTGTCATGTAAATAAAAAACAAAAAAAAACTATATATATATATATATATATATATATATATATCAGTGTTTTAAAACTCGGATCGGTCATCGACTCGGTCGAGGTATTGGGTTATTGGTTCAACCGAGTTCAACTAAATTTCCTATTCACATATTAAAAAAATATAAATATATTATATTAGAAATTCACGTAAGAAAACTATCAATGAGCTTCAAAAAATAAATTGGTTCTCAATGATAGCAAATATTATATATTTCTAGACTTCTAGCTCTAGATCATATCCTAACATTGAATTAAAATTGCAATGTAAGCTAAATGCACCTTTTGTGCCTTGATATAAGGCAGATAAACTAAATCATAATAACAAATGGTAGGCATCAAATATACACTAAGGAGAAAGTGTCAAACGTTGATACGAGACCATTAGTATTTATCTCTACTTAACTTTTTGAGATCATTATAAAATGCAATTAAATTACACAAAAAACTGCACTAATCCAAAATACTTCCTATTTTCACTTTACTTTATAATCATATTTACCACAAAATATAAGTATGATTTAATTCAAGAGTTCTCAACAAACGAGAAAAGAAGAAGAGGGTCAACCGGTCTAAATCGGGTCACCGAGTCTCATTCGGGTCAACTGGTCCAAACTAAGCTGATTACAAAACTGATCCAAATGATTGCTCGGACTAGAAAATCCACCTAGTCATCAAGACCCGAATCAACCTGCCCGGTCCGAGTCGATTTTTAAAATACTAATATTATACACTTTTAATTGCATTTTACCTCCAAGTTATTTATGTGAATTAAATTTTACATAAGAACAAAAAAAATATAAAAAATCAAAGCAAGAAAGGAGAAAGTGGGACTTGGTCACAGCGTAGCAGCAAGCCAGCAACTGTCCCTGGCCCTCTGTCTAAAATTGTAGTTTGTCTTGCGGTGTTATCGGAACCAATCAAGTGGCTACATACCAGTCAGGTCCAGATGAGGCCAAATCAGAACTCCAGAGGCAAATCCATCCACGAAGGATGATTTTTAAAATTCTCATCCACAACCAAGGGGCAAAAAGCTTAGCTTCGGTGTTGGATTATTATCTTATATCTGTCTCACCCTAAACAAATGGTCCACGAATTTCCACCTTTAGACACAATTATTGTTATTGCATCATCAAAATATATCAATTTCTTCCTTAATCATCCATCATGAAAAGGCGTACTCATCCATTATGAAAAGGCTACTATTTTTTTTTCCTCTTTACTTTTTGTCCAATAAATGGTTGTGTATATTAAATTAAACCTCCCGGGCCAACCAATTCACGTGTCATGTAGTATGTGCAACTTGCTTTTTGTGATTGGAATGTCACCACCGAACAATTTCTGATATGGGTCCACAACTAAACATAATCAGCATTGCTTAATTATTAGATGTTTTATTGATTTCAGGGTAAAAACGGTGTAACAGCATTGCCCATGTGATGTCATAATCCAACAATAATATGGTATTAACTAACAAAAAACAATAATACATCGTATTACATTATCAAAGTATAAGTATGTGAATGATAGAGTTCATAAAGATTTTAGTATTCTCTAATCAAACTCGTAGTTATAATTTCTTCATTGTATGTAGCTAATAAATGCTATTCTAGTACCATATTCATGAATCAAATGCTATTAAAAAAAAACACCCATACTGAAAAATACAACATGTCCAATGGGCTGGTGTTCGCAATATTTTATCCATCTAGATTCGTTAAGGATATGCAACATTTCTATTTATATTGATTTACGTGATTTCCAATTAAGGTGATGCAGAAAATGCAATTTAAATAAGAAGAAAAAAAAGTTGAATTATACACAATAAAAGTTGTTTCTTCTTCTACTGTTTTTTTTTTTTTTTGAGAAGTGTCTTCCTCTCTTGATTAACTTTTTGTTAATATAGCTATTTTTGGTACTAATTATACATATGTACAACTCTAAAAATATAACGACAAAGGTTCTAAACCAGACTATCAAACATATTCCTACATAAACATAAAATATACATAATGATGGATTGAAGGGTCAATCTTGTCACCGCCTATGGGAATATTTCTTTAACTGACTAGACCCAAATGGTTGGGGTCATCATCCCTATTTTTGTAGCATCGTCCTCGACTACATCTCAAAAACCAAGCATGACCCAAGAGAGAAATGTTAAAGAGATATAAAATAATTAATTTATTTTCACCCAATGCTTTAAGATTTTGGGTTGAAGTGGCGTTTATCATGGTATCAGAGCTTCAGTGAATACGAGGTCACAAGTTCAATCCGCATTGCTCCACTTTCAGGTAGAATTAAGAAAAACACAAGGCAGATAAAAAAAATGGACTTGTGTCATATCCACGCTTCAAGCCCAAAGGGATCTTACGTGAGGGGGTGTGTTAGAGAGATATTAAAATAATTAATTTAACCTCACCCAATGCTTAAAGATTTTGGGTTGAAGTGACATTTATCAAGAGACATGCCAAACATGAGGCGTGACCTGGGAGAAGAGAGACACGCCCAGCATGAGGCGTGACCCAGAAGAGAGACACGCCCCATCCAGGGCGTGACCTGGGAGAAGAAAGACACCTCCATTTGAATGTTTTGCAAATGGAGATGGATCGCGTAAAAGAGGAAAATAAAGTTATGAGGAAAGTGATGGAACAACGAATGAAAGACTATTGTGATCTACAAACGAAATTTGTTGTCATTGATCAAGAGAACAATAAAGAAAAGGTAAATCTGATTTTTTTTCCTTTATAATCTAATCTTCATCGTTCTTTGATCCTTATTTTAAATTATCTAATAATAGATCACACATAGAATCTCTCACTTCAAAATAATGCAAACATGAGTTGTGAAGGACCACCCTCAACGATTCCTGAGATCTTCGATAACAAAATTCAAGCATCTCTATCCCCAAGAAAAAGTGTTGATGATAGTATTAACAAGAATGAATTGAATGTATCTCTAAGGTTGAGGACAAGCACAAGTCAACAAGAAAAGAAGGTAAATATAGAAGAAGAACTATCAAGTTTTACATCTGCGCAGAATAACAAGTTACGAAGGATTCATGACTTGTGTGCTACGCACAAGTCAACCCATCTCTCTCCTGGTCACTATAACACCTCGCATATTTAATTGTGATATTAAATGCTAAATTGCGAGTTAGAGGATTTAATTAGTGAAAATCCTGAGGTTTGGGGTCAAATTAGCCATCAGGGGCAAAATGGTAAATTGACAACTGTGTAACCCTGTGCCGTGAAATGATAAATTGGAGTTTAATTTGAGGAAAATAATACTGGAAATGGATTCAGTACGAAATTTTGAGTTCGTATGTATAATTTGAGAAATTTTGATGAATAGTGATTTTATCGGATAAAATACGACAGTATAATTGCACCGGTAAGTGTGAAAATGGAATTAATATTTGAGGAAATAAGAACATGTGGAGTTTGGATAAAAATTATGGATTGTGAAATTAGTGAATTAAAATGAACGTTTTAAGTGAGTAAAATGACAAGTAGGACCCACTCCCACTTAAGTGAGTGAGTTATAACACATGAGAGAGAATATTTGTTCACAAAAAGAAAAATTAATCTTCTGTCTCCTCCAATTAGCCCCACCATCGTGAAACTCTAAGGAAGGCAAAGCTTGGAGTTGTGATCTTTTCATTTTATTTTCTAATTATTTTTAGGAGAAACTTCCAACTACAAAGTTGTTCCCCACACCATTGTCAGTGTGTTTCATGTTGAGAGATTCTTGTGAGGAGCATTGAGTGAAGAGATCTTCTCCCTCCTAGTGGTGGCGGTTTTGAGGCCAGAAGTGGTGGTTGGTGGTGGTTTTGGATTATTCAAGACTTGAAAATTATTCTTGGGGAATCTTGGAGCTAGTTTGTGGTAAGTTTCTACACTTTCATTTAATTTTTATAGAGATTGAAAAATGGGTTTATGTTTGGTGATATGTTGATGAGTTGAAATGGTTAGGAGCATTAAATAGAGGTGGATTGAACCCATAAAATTTATGAGATTGAACCCATAAAATTTATGGTGATGTATAACTTTGTAACTTAGTGAAAATTTGATGGAAAATGATGGAATTGTTGGTTGTAGTCTTAAATATGGTTGTTGAAGATTATGTGTTGGGTGTTGGTGTCATCAATTATGGAATTAAATGAAAGGTTAAAGTATGATATAACCATTGAAAAACCCCTAGGAACCATTGTCTTTACGTATTGATTATATAAGCACATTTGAGAGAAATTGTCGTAAGGTACCCATAGAGTATGTGGAATGGTTTTATAGTGTTGGATTAAATGGTGAGGTTTGTTGTGGGTTGTCAAATCATTGTGACTTGTGATCAAGTTGTTGATGATCATTGTTGTATGATCGTTGTGGGTTACCTCACAAGTATTCGATAGAGGTGGATTGAGCTTGGAGCTAATGTTGGAGAGCATTGCTTGAGGAGTTCTTAGAGATAAACTCTTGGAACTGGGGTTAATCTCCTTGTGTGTTCAACCATGCCCAAGTTGTGGGTGATGGTTGGATGTGTGCTCTTTGGTATTGTGTGTAATAGTATGTTCATGTATTATTGACATGTTGATTGACATGTGTGTGGCATGTTGTGTGATATTGCAATTGTGATCTCTGTCCAGTAGATGTGTTGGTTTGGACTTCCGTCGGTTTATGCTCCTTTGGGGAGTTCTAGTCGGGTTTTGCCATAGAGTCGTCTCTGGGAGCGGCACTAGGGAGTTCCAAACGTGGGACTTCCGCTGGATAGGTCTCCTTGGTAGTTCCAGTTGAGTTCGCCATGAAGTCTCTCAACCATGGGAGAGGCGCCAGAAAGCGTCCCGGGAGAAGTTTGATGGGGTCCTTGAATGAATCCTGTAATGGATGTTCTTGGATTGTGCCCAGTTGTGATGTGATTTTGTATGTTGTACTGTTCATATATGTATCATTGCATGCACATTGAGTGAGCCACTGGGCGGAGTGACCCTCCGGTGCCATTAGATTGCTGAGATATATATGTATATCTCACCCCTTTTTGGGGCACCATTTCAGGTTCAGGTGAGCACATTGGAGCTTCGGGCAAGAAGCCCACCTAGTGCTGGAGATAGATTTTGATGCATGAGACTCATATGTCATTTTGAGAGATTTCTATATTTTGTTGACATTTATTGTGTAGAGGACTTAGTATATGAACATGGTATTGCATGTAGTTGTATTTACCATGCTTTTGTTGTTCATATGCAATCCTAAGTCTCTTGAGAATTAGTTGTATTTTTTTTTTTTTTTGAGTTACCCAACCCTAATTACCTCTTTGAGACGAGTTGGCTCCATCCGGTATCCCCACAAGCTTCGACTCTTTGAGCCGGCTACGGGACTAACCCGGAGTGCGGGGGTCAGTGATGGCTAAAGGTTCAGCCCCCTCACCAAGAATGCATTCAGCGGGAATTAGTTGTATTTTTGAATCCAATTGTATATGTCTCATTTGATCATTTTGGATATGGGTGAGTGCGTGGGATGTCCATGCCACTTGGATTATGTTTAAGAATTAATTGTTGTAAAGAATATTTTATGAAGGTGTATGATTAATGGAAGGGTCAATGACTTATTGAATGCATTGGGATGTGATAATTGATTAGGTAAATGGTTGAAAAATTGGTAATTGTTGAAAATATAAACAAAATGCTGCCCAATTTTCATATCCCATATGATAGAGTTGGACCCCTTGACCTTCTTGGAAGTTATAGATCTTTCTTTTAGCTTTCCAACGAGACCAAGATCGTATAAATTGGGTTAGCATAACTCGAATTATGAAGGAAATACCAGAGTAGGTTAAATTTCCTTGTTTTAGTGCCTATCTCCAGACCTGTGGCGCTTTTGGCCCCGAGTTGGCGCTATTAGCGCCACCAATCAGTGAGAAATCATATCCCTAGAGCTGTTGGTGCCAAGTTGGCGTTGTTGGCGTCGTTCCACTGTTTTCTGGCGCTATCAACGCGTAGCCCCTGCGGAATCAGCACCTTTTTTCTTAGAAAATTCATAACTTGAGCTACGGTGCTTCAAATTGAGCGCGGTTTGAACTCACGCGAAGCTAACGAATAAATATATAAATACTAAGAAAGGATAATCATTGGAGTAGTATAATATTCCTAGAATAAATAAAAAGAAGAAGGCATTCAATGTTAAACATGGATAGAATGAGTTTTAAGCTTTATTGGTTTATGGGAACCATTTAGCAGCATGTAAATATAAGTTGTATGGTATTAAGCTTATTGATTAATATTTCCGCTATGAGTTTTGAGTAATGATCACAGTTAGAATATTGTCAGAGACGATTATTTTAAAAGTGCAAACAATATTAAAAAGAAAACAAAATTCGTAATTTCAAATAATTGTTGTGATCGTAAGCGCGCTTAATATCATAGTTAATGATAACACACCGGTCCGGTAACAGGGTATTGCACTTATCGTTACATCTGCTTCCACCAATCGATGGTCTCGCACCAAGTATCCACAAAATAGCATTTGAATCCTAGTAGCAGCTCTATCATCTAGCAGATTAGAAGAATGAGTGAAATTAGCCTCGAGCTTTGCAAATCAACTCGCTGCTCGACCCGAACCTTGGCAAAATCAGCTCGCATCTCTGCCCTAACCCTTGCAAAGTCATCACGCGATTTTGAAAGGGATCGGTCAAAAGCATGAAGTGCGACAACGATATCATCCCAGCATGATGTAATGGCAGGTGCGATTGAAGGGTGAGAGTGGGGAACATTGATTTGTCATGGAAGAGGATGAATGTTACTTCTAATTGTGGAGGAAGAGTAGCTCGATGAAAGCATCATTGTAACGGATGTTACATAGAAGAAGAAATGCTGAAAAGGGAAAATAGGAGGAAAGAGAGAATTCAAGGAAGAAGGAGAGATGAGGGAGAAGAGTTTCCAACAATTTTCTCATATCCATTTCATTACCGTTACTCCTCTATATAACACTACGTTCTGTTACAACAGAATTGACAATATTACAAACAAGGAATTAAAATAGGGACATCACTATAACGACACTTCTATAATGACACTATTATAAGGACTGATTATTGAAATACACTCATTACCGTTACAACGAGAGCTCTTTTCAAAGTAAAGGTGTCCCTTGCAGGTCATCTTTTGGGATTTTTTTCCTTTTTTCTTTTGGTATAGACCGAGGGCATAAGCCCAGAAAACACAAAAACATCTACAGAAATTTGTAAATTGCCCCTGACGTGCATATCTAGAGCACTCTACATCCAATAGATGCACCAGCTCAAGAGGAGAATTATCAAAAACCACCATCCCTTGATTTTCGAAACTTGAATTTGGGAATCCTTTTTCTCTTGATCATAAACCCAAGGTAGATTTTTTTTCTTGATCATAATCCTTTTTGGCAACTGTTAACGTAAAAAACTAGAAGAATTGTTTCGAATAACTTTAAATTATAAGGACTCAATTATATTTCGAATGAAAACAATTTGATTAAATCATTTTTTTTAACCTTTAAAACTAAACTATATTGGAGAATGATTCATTTACAATTGTTTTTTTTTAGAAATTACAGTAAGTATAATCGATCATACACTCTTAATTAAAATATGACCAGTGAGACATAGTATAATTAATAAGAATTTGTAAACAAAAAATTTATAAATATAACATTCTTTAACTATATTTGATTATTCAATATTGAATCATTGATACTACCAAGTCGATTTTGCACTCCCCTATATAAAAGCATGTGGCTTTCCTCTCAGAGCACTGGTATATTACTGAGATTTTTAATTACGATTCTAAGTAATGTCATACAATGGAATTCATACCATAGAAATAAGACTCCACTCTTGCACGGGACAGCATAAGAATCCGCAAAATAAAAGAAGCATCAACAGGATTCTTTACATAAATTAATGAGGTGAAAACGATTTTTCCTACTTACGAATCCAACTCATTATGAGCTTTGATACAAATTGATTTGATTTCACTCAAAGGATATGCCGTGATAATTAAAAAAACGCAAGCACGAAATCGCTTGCATAAAATGTCTAATAACCAAGAAAAGAGCGCCAATTAATCTATTCGTCAGCCGAAGACAAACGAAAATCAATTTGAAACACGTCTAGTCACCCCATACACTACGGAATCTTCTATCTTCAACGGATACACCATAAGAGTATGGTAATGGCATGCGTCTTAAAATCTGGGCTTTGCCCTTAAAAGGGTAAGAAATGGATGTAAGATTAACGTCCATTGTTCTCTTTCTCAAGTGTTCTTTTTTGTCGGACCGGACTTCTAGCTTCAGCAACTTCAGGCTCCTTCTTATTGACACATTCATCTGGCTTACTAGCATTCCTGTCCCCCAGTGGAAGGCCACCCCCATTTGACGAAACTTGCTTTCGCATAGCCCGTGGTATCTTTAAAGGTACATCTATCTCACCAAAATTATTGTCTGCCTTGGGGGCAACCGGAGCATTATCATGTCTAGATGAGGGCATTTTCTGTGGTATATTCATAGATACGTCCGCTTCACTAATGCTATTATTTTCTTTCTTGGGGACTTCACAATTATCTGGCTGCAAGGAAGGTGGCGGATCTGAAACAAGAACTAATGTGGACTTCCGCCATTTCTTTCTCTGATTAGCCTTCTGGGCATTCGATTTGGCCTGCAAAAAGAAACAGTAATCGTTATAACAGGGCTACCAGATCGTCCTAGACCAACAATAGCGTAAGACATTAAAAAAATAATGGCATTATAAAAATAGAGCTAGAAAATAAAATGCCGGTGAAATTAATAGCAACCTGAAGCAATTGAAATTACATCCAGTTCCAATGCAATGTACATTAAAAAAAAAAATGATTTTTCCCAATGCAGAGAAACTTGACTTTTTAAAGTGTGACTGACTCACCAGTGTATTTCCAATATCGGAGAGGGGCTTTCTTGGCCCATGATCACTGTTTGCCTCAGCAGGCCTCTCAACCAGTGCACCCTGAAGCAACTCAGCACCTTGAGCAGCAAGAAGGCGATTTTTGTCTGTTTCCTCAATACCAGAATCATCTCCAGTTCCTTCAACCAATCCCGATTGTGTTAACTCCTGTGACTCATTTGTGACTGATGCTCTGTTGGCACACTTGGATGCTAAGCAACCACAAGAACTCCCACAACATGTGCCCAGAGCTTTGCATTTGCATTTATTTGTCTTGCAAAACGAGTTTTTACTACAAGAGCAGCAAACATCTGATCCAGTTTCTTCTACACATGTACCTCCAAGTTCTTCTGTTGAATTATCTTTGACATCTTCTGAACTGATATTTGACTGATTATTTTCCATGCTTAATTGTCCGCTTTTAGATTTTCTTTTCCTGAAGTGTAATTTTCCGGACTCTACCCATTCATCATCAGTTGCATCTATATCATAATCATCTGATTCTGCATCCGATATATCCATATCCTCGAGTAAGATGGTAGATCGTCGATTTTCCTGAATGATAACCAATTGATCATTAATTATGGGTCCCCCCAAAAAAATGAAATTTATGATGAGATGGAATCATTTGCAGGCGCAGTAGAAGAGCTACTGATATGCAAGAGACCTACCAACTTGCGCAAGTCATACTGATGTCCTCCAACATTTATGTCAGAATATCCCGAATACCCCGCAGATTCCGAGTATCTCTTTGCAGTCTATCATAAAAAAGACAAAACAAAAAAATTCGTAAGTTTCAGTATATCAGTATTTTCTAAGTTGCGTTGCACAATTTATTTTTCCAACTTAATCCGGATGATGTGGAGCTATAAAGGAGAAAAGGCATGACATCTCGGCCAAACCTGCAACTTCAACTGGTGAATAAGTTCAGCCTTCTTCATTTCCAATTGTCGAAGTGAACAGCTTAGCCTTACTACTTTTTCTTTTAGTTCTCTTATTTCCATGTCCTTCTCTCTGCAGGTAACTTCTTTATCTCGCAATAAACATCTGATATAAGAAAAGCAGAGAAAAATATCCGGTCATATCATCACGAAAGACAACTTTTGGATTTCTTTGAAATTTAACAGATATCGCATTTTAGTATAATATCCCTAATCTAATAACTTTTCAAGGCATCTTGGTTAAACTAAAATCATGGACCAAAAATTGGCTTGCAGATAAGCAGCTATTACCTGGAGGAAGATGCTAGATTGAACAAATAATTCATCAAATTCTTGGCATCAGCAAGGGACCGGACTTGGTTCCAACGTCCCTTGCCACTGAAAACCCGTTCCCGCTCTTCTGCCTCGGACAACTGAGATGCCATTGACACCAGTGTTGTAGAGGAAGTAGCAAGCATGTTTTCAAGGGCAAAAATCCTTGAATTTCTTGCACCCGGAGACATTGATACGAGGCCATCACTAAATTAGCGATCAGAAAACAGACTTCGTCAATCATAAATTGCCAAAGAAAAATGACAAGGATGTACAATATTTAAAGTGGCTTGGGTAAATGAAAGGCTTTTTCACCTAGTACTGTTAAGCTTCATCATCTCTGTTTCTTCCTTTAACCTGGTGATCTCCTTGGCCATTTTAGCTCTCCTGTAATGAATAGTGATAATTAAATGAGCCTGTGAGCAAGGCTCAAATATATATATATATATATATATATATATGGAAAAAAACTATTTTTAGGCAACATTAGAGTAGTTTATCTCTAGATTCATCGAAAACTGTGACACTATTTTTCTTTTTTTGTAAATAGTGGGTCCTACCACATGTGTCTCTACAACATAAGATATCTTCTCTCATATAACATGAGATTAGATGAACCCTATATATATATATGAAAAAATATTTCTACAGTCACTTTATATAAGATTATTTACAGCTATCTTTTATAACTATATATTACCAGTAATATATAATTATTTGTAATATTAAAAAAAAAATTCTCTCTCTCCGTGTCAGCAGACAGGTTCTGAAAAGTGACAGAGAGAAAAAAAATTAACTTTAATGTTATAACTATATACTATCGGTAGTACATAGTTATAAAATATAACTGTATATAACCTTATCTAAAATGGTTGTAAAAATGTTTACCCCGTATAAATATATAAATATATGGGTTCGTTGTTTCTCCTTTCGCTGTTGATGAGAAAAATTGCAGCAAATTATTAACACTAAGATACGAGGTCGTATCCTGGTCTAAAAAAAAAAAAACATCAGGATTCGGACGCGTATCCTGATAAAAATAAATGCATAGGATTCAGACGCGTATCCTCATAAAAATAAGTGTTGCTGCATTTTTTTTCATCTGCAGTGACAGAAGAAGTATATAACCCTAAATATATATATATATATATGAGCTTCCGAAAATTTTCAATCCTCTTTATAAAGCCAACATATACCCGCAACAAAGTTTAGCTATATTTTCGTTGGAAAAATTCAAAACCTGTCATTCAATGTTTGACTTGCTCACCATCAATAATCACAGTCCACGCTTCAATTATGGGTGAAATTAACTTAAATTATCATCATATTCTTCCATATATAAAAAAGACGGGGTGCTTTCAGAAGTTCTAGCCATCACTCAATAAAGAAATCCTCCTACTCAATCTTAAAGGTCTCAGATTTTAGAACTAAATGTTAAAAATAGCACATACTCTTCTATTTGACGCTCATATTCTGAACGTACTTCATGCACTCGGACGGTCACTTCAAGCTCATGCTCTATTGCCTGCATCAAAGCCTTCAAATAGAAGCATATACGTCAAGTAGAAGCTACGAAAACACCAAGGCATCCACTCATTTGCACGCTTGGAAAGGTGAAGCTTATTCAGCAAAATCACCAAGAAGAACTCAAAAGCATATAATGTTTAACAACATCGAGTACAAATCAATGTGTAGGAAACAATTTAATACTTGTGTATCATTCACAAACTTAGCAGTTAGGATTACCTGAATTCCAGGACCATTCCCACCTGCAGCACCAGTGCATAAAAAATTAACTGCCAGTTATTAGAAAGCTCACAAAATAGGGAAAGCAAGCTCAAAAAAAGTTAAGCTGCAAGCACAAACCCATAGTTTCACGCGAGGAAGCCTTTCGAGATTCCAAAAGCTCTTTTAGCCTTTTTGTAGCCAAGGAAGCTTCTTCTGTCTTCCTTTGCAATACCTACATCGAACACATAAATAATGGGAATAACCAGCATCAAAATAAGACCACAAGAGTAAGTGATTTGAACATCATCTTACCATCTTTTGCCTCTGATTCAACGCTAACAGCTTATGCATCTCGTATTCGTTCCTCCTCCCTTCTTTTTTAAGCTGGAAATCACTCAAAATATGTATTAGAAGATTCACCAATAACAAATCAATTTTTTTGACAAGGTTAAAGGGAGAGATGTTGAGGTGTTCGTTTTAGGGACCAGAGAGAGCCATTCCTTATAAGCAAGAGACCAGCAAATAACCTAAGTAATAGTACCTAACAAAGTCTGAACAGAGATAAAATCATAATACCATTATCGAATGGAAAAAAGAATACCACAAGCGAAAGATTTCCCTCTATACGGTTATAGAATGAAGTAATTAAGTATCAAGGATTTTTTTTATTAACAAAGTACAAGAAAATTCTACCCAACTTCGTTTACCTGGAGAACTTCTTTTTCACGCGAAGCTTTCCATAATCTAAATTGTTCAGATTCCTGCTTAATCTTATGTTGCAGTTGAACCTAAAGAAAATAAAATATCAGCAATGACACTAAAAGAAAGAGAGAGAGAAAAACCTTTCTACTTCAAACTGAAAACACAAGTTCCATTAACAAGACCGTTACACCTTTTGAGATTTAATTCTATGGATCTCATCCTGAAGTCGTTTTGCAGCCTCATCACTTTTCTGTTTTTGCCTCAACAGTTGAGACTGAGAATCTTGTTTCTTCTTCAGCTCAGAGACCTGGAAAGCAAATAATCAGTTCACTGCATGGAGTGACCATTGGAGTTAAGACATTCCAAATAACAAGTTCACCTGTGCTTCAAGAGCATTTAACTTTTGAAGATACTCGGCCTTTAACTTCTGAGCTCCATCATCAGAAGCGGATGAAATATTTGCAAGATTGAACCTAAGTTCCTCAATCTCTTTCTACCAATAATATAAAAAGGAACGGAGTTATTATAGTAACTTTTTAAATGGAATATAAAAAAGTTATCATAACACAGATCAATTACCTGCAAAAACTTCTTTTCGTGTTCCAACTCAATAAGTTTCTTTTCATAATGATGCCTAAGAACTGAAGTATCAGCGTTACTAAACAGCTTCATTTCAGCCTTCAACCAAAAAATAGAAAAATTAGGCAGTAAAAACATATTATAGAATCAATACAAGACATCCAATATCTTGTCAATTTGCATAATATGATAAAGATATTAGCAAACCAAAACTTGACAAAACAAAAGATTCAACTTCTTCATGGGTCTAAAACTAGATCCAGCAACTTTTACCTCCTTTTGTTCAAGTTTCTTATCCAATTCTTTGAGCTCCCTATCCAACTTTTCTTGAAGAGAAGAGTGTTCTATCTCCTTTGCATGATCTTCCATATCATCTGCATACAAGTCGCACAATGTTATAAAACCATATGTTGATATTTAAGAATTCGGATTAAATCGCAATTCAAAGTGATATAAAAAAAGTAAAAAAACAAAAACAAAAATGGGTATTAAGAAGTCTAAACATGTTGGGAATCCAAATCTGAGTATTAAAATCTTGCATTAGTTCAATTGACAGAGTGAGAACTGAGAACCATACAAGTGGAAGGACCCAAAACCTAACACCTTAAAATTTTGGGTTGAAATGTGGTATCTAAGCTTACTTATTGTGGCAGGTTTGTTGCCTAAACTCATTTGATGGTAATTCTTCCCTACCACGGGCTACCCGGTTATCCAACAAAACACTGTTAATTAGAGCTTTCAAAAATCAATTTGTCATCTCAAAATTTTGATGCACTTGTCTCAACCAAAACAAATGTGCCAAGAATAATATTATTAACGTCAGCCACAAGGGTTAAAAATCAAGAAAGAGATACACTGCACAATAAAAGTTAAAAACAACCTTCAATATTTGTACCTGTTATGTCCAAAGATTTAGCATCACTATCAGATGAATACTCATTACCACATGCAAATAAATCAGTCTTTGGCCCGAATCCACTATCATCGGAATCAACCCAATCAACAAAATGACTAGATTTCGTATTGGAATTTTTCAAACGAAGCAATTGACCTTCCAACTCTTGGATCTTTGACACATAAGATTTCACCAGGTCATAATCCTAGATACAAGTTCAGACCATGAGTCAAAGATGGATTACATTAGCAGAAAATTGTAACCACGCATTAGTAATGAAGTGATGCATCCAAACCTGATTTGAATTTGAGTCAATCTCATCCCAAGATTTTCCATTTCGAATTGATTCTATTTTCATGATCAGTTGGTCCTTTTCAACCTAAAAGAATTCAACATATTGAGTGAGACGCAACATATTGATGTCAAAAGCACAGCAAAGGATACTGTATTTAACTAGCAAATTTTCTGTTTTGGGTAAAACTCCCAACATTTTGTTAGAACTAAAAACATAAAGGATTAAAGAAAGACCTGAGCATCACAAGCACGTTGTGTTAAACTCTCACAAGTTATTCGACGTTCTTGAAGCTCCCGCTGTAGCTCTGCATTGCTTGCTTCAAGTAAGGATATTTTGTGTTTAAGTATCTGAGAGAGAAAAAAGAACATCAGAAACCTATAACCGGTAAATGCGTGATCAACTTCAGATACTTCCTTCCTGAAATAAAGATGTACCTGAAGTTCCTCGAATGGTCCTCCAGCATCACCTCTATAAAATAGCAGCTCAGCCTGCAATTGCTCAATCTGACTTCGCATTCTCTGCACCTGAGCTCCCACTGGATCACGATTAATCTAAAACAAGAAAATTTAAAAATATCAAAAGTAAGAAACATAAACGACCGCTGCCCACAAGCAAGAAAATAAAAAATTAAAAATAATGATTAAGGAACACCAAGCAAAGCACTTACAACTGCCTTGTTCTGAATGTTGCGAGCACGGTTGGCATACTTTAAAGTGTTCAATGTCTCTTCAGCATTGGTGTCAGCAGGACTAACACATGCTGCCGCATTCCACACAGTTTAGATGATACATATGATCTTAAAAAGTATAAAAATTTCAAAAGACTATAATTATGCACTGAGTATGCAGAGTGTACCTATCATCACCGTTTTGCTGTTTCCTCCGAGAGAATCCTGTATATTCATTAACCAATTGCATTTCACGACAAGATAATATGAATCCATCACTTGGATATTTCAAAAATAAACACAGCAACTAAAATTTTATTTTAACATTTTCCAGTAACAGTGGCTTTTAAAACAATTTTCAAGATAGGATTAGCAATATAAACCCCACACGACACTCTAAAAGCTCTAACGATATGTTAAACAAAAAGAATATGCGCATTCCCCTCCCCTATGACCTCTTAAATCATGAGACTAAAAGGTCATGGACAAATTTTGTTTTTAAGTTCAGATATTATTTCTTATATTATCTTACCAAGTAGAAAAAATCATACATGATAGAAAATGTGGAGATGTTCAAGATAAAAATTCTAGATGTATTGTTTAAACAAATATTGTGCAAACCTGCAGTAGGCGTGTTAATTTGCTATCACGATATGGCACGTGGCCTCCTTCTTTTCGCTTTCTTTCATCTCCCAATGCACTTATCACATTCCCAAGAGCCAATAAACCCTTGTTGATATGAATGCCTTAACCATGAAAAAAAAAAAAAACAAACCAATTGATCGTTTAATAACTTTTTATTAAAAAATAAAAATTGCATTCATAAAACTCAGCAACATGAGAGGCATGCGTTAACTCAAATTTCCAAATTCTATTGTGACGAACAGGATAAACTGCAGAAAATATTTTTGTATTAGTTCTATTCATAGCCCCACAAATATGCCGTATCACTAACAACAGGAATACCTCACCTTCTTTTAAACGCATGCCATCTGCACCAGTTCTTTTGGCACGTTCAGAACCAGCAAGGTCCACTAAATGTAGTTTGGCACATAAGACATCATCACCATTCTTTTGCTCCATAGTGATTGTGAATATAGCATGTGAACGACTAAACAAAGCACGTAAACCACACAGTCATCATACTATAAAGTAATTTCCCAGGTCAGCCGGGGGGGGGGGGAATCCTACTCCATTAATGTTAATATGCATTATACTAGAGTCAATTTTATCAAACCAAACAATAAGAAATTATTCACAAAACAAATAATGCGGCAGACTTAATTATAGCAGTTTTACCTTGATTGACTGTTCATGTTTGTACACCCGGTGGCACGTGACAACGAACCCCGAGCGAGATAAGACGACATTTCTTCTTTTGTCTTAACTTCGGCCTCGGTCACACCAGCCAGTGTTATTCCTCCATTCACCGTTTCTCTAATTTGTATGGGAACCCTGGTGGGTACAGAGAACTTTGCAGTGGAAGCCACTTCTCTTGAAGAATTGGTATCAATCAAATCAAATACCTCTTCCTTGAATATCTGTCATTTTTTAGCAGTTCAAGTTTAAAATCTGATCTCAATTACAGAGAAAATTCACTAAACAGTATTCTTTACCTCAATAAAAGATACTCTAATCAAAAACTCGCTTGATTCTTTCATACACTGAACTCTCTTGAATATGGTCTCCATCACCCTGGGTATAATTCCACCAGAACTTTCCCCTCCAGTGTAATTGGTGCCCATTGTGTATGTCTTACCAGATCCAGTCTGAGATGAGAACAAAAGCCCAATTATAATTTACTGTAAATGCAGACCAAATATAACCAAACCAAGTTTCTGAAATAAGATTTCCACCAACTAAACGTGAAAATTATACCTGGCCATAAGCAAGAACAGTTGCATTATAGCCATGGAAGAGTGCATCAACAAGAGGAGCTACACAATCATCATATATTGCAGACAAAGGCAACCCCGTACTACCGTAAACATAATCGTAAGTGAACGCATGAGACCCAATTTGCACCTACCGAGCATCAACAACAACAATTACACATCAAATTAATATAAGTTTATAAATCCCAAGCTTCCAACAAATACCAAAGCAAGCATTATATGAATTGACCAAATAATCACAGTTAACAGAGATTTATAGAAAACGCACCTGAGGTTCGCCGGGAACAACAGTGATGCAATCTGTGCAGCCGAGAAGAAGCTCCGACGTGATCAGAGGGCGGATGTTGACGGCAACTCGCACGCAGTTCCCGTCTGAGTGTTCCATCTCTAACAAACTCAGATCAGTCTTTGAATTAGAAACCCTAGAACCCAATCGAAAACGCAAAAGTTAACTGGAGGAACTTCGTTTCCGTTTTCAGTTGCATTTCAATTTCAATCCCGCATAACCGTGATTGATTGTGAAAAAGCGTCAAGTGTTGAAGCAAGTGAGGTTTCGATCTGAGCTTGCTTAACTGTGAGAGAAACGAAGTGAGCGACAGAGTGAGAGGGAAGAGAATGAGAGAATCAAAAGAGAACTGAGGAGAAGAAGAAGAAAAACGAAACGAAAGGTTTGCGTTTTGAACAGAGAGGGGAGGGTAGTGGCCGCGATTTTGAATGTGGACGTGCCTGAATCTGATTAAATTGTATTTGAGAAAATGGCGCTCAGGTCCGAATTCAAATTAGGATTATGGTCACGCGCGTGTCACGTGAGAAATGAATAACGTTACAATAGTAGTCACATTTTGGTGAAATCTGTGCGGAAAAAGAAACCCCGTTTGGCGTAAAGAATGTAATAAGAAAATGAATAAGAATAGGAAGTAAATTGAAATAAGAATAATAATTTGATTCCATAGTTTCGTATGATTAGAAATAAATTGACGTGTAGATTGATTCCAAGTTTGGTGTATATAATATAATATAAAATGAGATTTAAAATAATGTAAATGACATAAGGAAAAAGTATTTCTCCAGTCACCAGATATAAAGTTATCTTCAGTAAGCTCAAAACGACATCATTTTGAGTTATGAGATTAAAAAATTATAATGATAAGGACTAATATAACCCTGTAATATATTATAATTACAAAAACACCTTAATTTTTGTCACAAAACAACGTCGTTTTGGAGCAAACTTTTGGTGTCACTGTCCCACATACCACTTCCTTTCAAAATTTGTCACTTGTATTTATTTTTTTATCCCACTTTCATCTTCTTCTTTTTTTGTGATTGGTCTTTCCTACTAAGTAAATGGTACCACCGTGGTACCTTGAAAATTTCCGTCGTTTTGAGCTCACTGGAGATAACTTATCTCCGTTGACAGGAGAAATTCTTTACCCATGACATAAATAACAATAATAAGAAAAGATTGTTATATGTAATAATGTGTATTTTTTAAATAATATTCAGGATTAATTTTTGAACAATCAAATAAGAGATATTTTCGTAATTTTTTTCTTTCCAACTGCTTTCTCTTTTCTATAATGTATTAATATATTGTAATTATGGTTCTATATAAAATTTAAAAAATTTAAGACAAAATAAAATAAATATTAAATAAGGTAATATACACTTCGTTCTTAAGTTATTATTTTATGAGTTTTATAATTCTCATCTAATATAAAAAGAAACTTTTTTACAGATTCTTTGATTTGCATACTGACATAAATCTAACATATGACTTTTTCTAATATATAAGCCCAAGTAACTTTTTGTTTCTATGCCATAAAATTTCCTTTTTCAAAGAATTATAAAACCCTCATTTTATTTTTTGTTTTTCGGTCACTAAACCGTGTCACTTGTGGCATGGCCTTCGCGTACTATATAGTCAAAAACTTAAAGCCTCTTTCAATTGTTTTACCACTTACGACGCCCACTTATCAATATCATTTGCATTGGCTCCAATTTTTCATGTTACCAAGTGCTTGTTTTGTTGTATATGATTCAAGTAGCATTAAACTGAACCGGTTTTTAAAATTCTATCTAAAATATTTAAAGAGAATTGTTAACATAAGGTTTGATCGTATAACCTCGTAAACAAATATATGCAACATTAATCACTATACCAAAAGTATATATTTATCATAATTTTTTATTATTACATTTATTATATATTCTTTTATAATTCAATAAGTAATTCAACGAGTGGTTTCCAGATTGCACCAATGACTTATTAACTTAGTACCCCAACCAAATTGATGATCAATTTAGTAACACAGGCTCACGTACTAATAAAATCATTTTAATCATACATCAACCCAACTAAATGTGAGCAATTCATCCACATCAGGAAGGTTGGTTGCCATAAGAAGCCTTAAATGAAACTCCAAATGTTATGAATACATCACTAAACAATCTAGAACAAAATGTTTTGCTTTAAATCGGCAAACTGGGCCTAACTTATCACATCATTAAAGGATAAAGGTTTTTTTATATTTGATTTCTCCTAACTCCCTTGCACATGTGACTCTCTCATGTGAGGAGTCATGTTTTCTCACATCATATTCGGGGCAACAAGGCAAAAATGATTTTTGTTCACTCTTTTCACGTTAGTGGAATCTTCTTCCCACTATAAATACTTCACTCCTCCATTGAAGGAGCAACTCCGTCATCACACTCACTTTTATGTTGTCAGTAATGTTGAATCAAAACCTCACATTCAAATTGAATCAACTCCTCCATTAAAGCCTTAATCTTGGACCCGCCCCGAATCGGATTAGTTGCGAAGCAATGAACTGATTGGAATATTTAAAAAAAAAAAAAAAAAAAAAATTTACATTCAAATTGTGCGCTTCACTCTTCTCCCCTTTAATTCACAACCTTTGTCTAGAGCATCAATCTTGAAATTGAGCTCTAATTTTCTATACTAGCTACTCAATTGATCATTGTTACATCAATATACTTTATCGTAATGGAAAACAAAACTATCCTCCTATCCCCAAACAACCATGTTTAAAAATATAAACCATCTATTAAATCCCTATAAGCATGCTACTTTACGACCTCAACAAAATGGTAAGACTCTTTTGATTTATCTTATCATATATGCCTAGAAATAAGATTATGGACAAGTTACTCCTTTGAAAATAAATGATGATTTTGATGATGAGATGTTGTTGTATCCATCATATTCAATAAATAACATAAGAAGTTAAAGAACCATCTCGAATCCAATATCTCCTTATGAAAAGTTATAACATCAACCATAACCCACAATAACTTGTTAGTTGTATTTCTCTTATTACTATATTATTATGGGATTAATGTCTCTTATTTTGTAAAGAACCAATTCAACCCAAAAAATTAAGTTGTTGGGTGAGGTGAGGGCCCTTTTAATGGTTTATATTATTCTCTAACACGCTCCCTCGCAAGAGAGCCCATTGGGCTTGAAGTATGGACAATAAATCATCAGTTAATATTCTTTTCACGGGTGGTGTTGTTCCGTTTGTATCTGAGGTTAGTCGCCCAGCTAATATCTTTCTTATGTTTTAGTTGCTATATAGTTTTGAAATGAAATCGAATTCTAACCTTTAGATTTTTTTTCGTTGTCTTCCGTTTGGGAGGCACAAGTACGTGACTATTAAGTACAATTAATGAGACATTTATATATGATAATATTATTGTTATTTTAACGTATATTGTCTTCTTAATTGGTTTTTCTCATATGAACTGTGTTGTACAAGAAAAATCTCTTTACCCATATATTTAAAAATGGGGAAAATATTTGTCCAAAGAGATGAACCATGGATGGATGGCCAAGCAAGCTTCAAAGAGGTTTTGATGAGATCCAATGGGGAAAGAATTTCATATGAGGAAGATGAAATAGCGGCTGAGGATTGTATGATGGTTGAGGGTGATCAAGAAGGAGGCAAGGTGATCAGTTAGGTGTGGAGGAGGTAACGCTTGAATCACGAGAGGATAGGAGAATATATTTCAAACTCTGATGATTTAAAAAAAAAAGCATGGAAGCCTTGGAGGCAATTGCTTATTGCCAAGCTTTTGAGTAAAAAACTATCGGTGAATTTCATGAAGAAAAGGCTTTAAAACATATGGGGAAGGGAGTATGGGATTTTTGTGATAGACATCAAGAATGATTACTTCCTGGTGCGCTTTGAACATATAGACAATATAGAATTTGCTTTATTGGTTGGGCCATGTGCCCGTGTTATTTTTTATTATTATCTGGCCATACATAGGTGGGAACCAGATTTTCATGCGTTGCAGGCATCAATTGGAAATATCACTTATTCGGTGAGGCTCCCAAGCTTCCCATTAAAATATGTCAACACATCATTATTGAAGAGAGTAGGTAATTGGATAGGGAAATTCATCAAGTTGGATGTTGCTACAACAAACCTATCAAAGGGAAAGTTTGCGAGAATTTGCATAGAATTGGACCTAAGCCAACATCTGAAAGCAGAATACTATAAATAGGGTTGGCAAAACGGGCCAACCCGGCTCCACCCGGCCCACCCCGTATTCAACCCGGAAAAAACGAGTCGGGTTAGGGATGGCCCGAAAAAAAAAAACGAGCCAGAAAATCAAACTCAGCCCGACCCGAGCCGGGTTAGGGTTGACTCGCGAGTTGACTCGAAAATAAGCTCGCGGGTTGGTTAGCTCGAAATATTACAAATGGGTTGGCTCGCGGGTTGGCTCTTAAGACTTGTTCCTGTCCCTGGCTATGGATTTCAATAGAGCATTCCTATGGATTTCAATAGAGCATTCCACTGCTACAGATCCTTACAAAGTTGTTTTTCCCATTTTAGAAAATTCATGGAGTAGTTATTTTTGTCCCCTGCGATATTGATCATCTAGACTTAATAACCTTACACTTTCCAAAAATTTAGTTACTCAAATAGCAAGATTATGATTAGTGGAAGCAACTCGTTAGTGCTTGAGTGGTACCTCCAGTATCCGAAACAATAAGGGGAAAAACACTCTATACAGAGAAGATTTGAAGTACACTTAAAAGACCAATCAAAACAAGGATTGGTAGCCCATCATATACCCCGCCAATGTCAACAAATGCCCCTTGATAGAGATGCAAAGTGACAACCTTCCTTACACAAATCTGCATGAAAAAAATTTCCCAAGTAATTAATGATGTCATATGAAAATATGTTTCAGGCATTTACAAAAACCTGATTCTCCATTCTACAAATTTATTATGAATTATGATACAGAAAAAGTATGCTTTGAGTATGTATATGTGAAGATGAAATAAAGCCAAAGAAAAATAGGATTACATACTACATTACAAATATAACTGTCCAAATAGAGACATTATAA